ATGGGCACAAAATCTTCAATGGATGAGGTTATTATCGAAAAGTTTTACATACGTGTCCAAAGATTGGTATGTTACTGGGTAATCCCTCCCTCAGTTGCTAGCCATTCCACCACTCATCCGACTCCATAAATTATGTGACTGATGAATGTCACTACCACTCACTCATCCCGTTCTATCTCCCTAAATTCGACATGGAAGAAATGAAATGCGTTTAATAGAGTGGTTGGAGTAAAGTAACTGGCACGTCAACCAGGCAATTGAGGAGTTCGGCGGTCACACCAACATCTCCCAACGCCGCCTGCCAGCAAGCTGTGGCTCTTTGAGGACAAAGTTTTGCTCGGTGGGGGGGAGGGAGGGACGAGGAGGAGGGCTGTGGTGTGTTTACTTCGAAATAATCTTAACTAAGACGCCTTGTTTAGTTGCGACTTAGTGACGTGTGAGGACAACCACGTGGGTGCAGGGTGTGTCAGTTGCAAGGCTTCTTGCAGGCACGCCCGCATGAAGGGCCAACGCATCATTCCCACACCTCGGAGCAGCGAACGCAGCCGTGTGTAGTACTGGCCGGTGGTCCACCTCGATGTCGCCGCCTCTGATCGTGTCGGCTTGTGGGCTCGCCTCTGGTTACAACGCCTAAAGAGATCCCTATCGTTATCGGGTCACTGGTTTGATCGCTTTCATAGCACATTGTGCATGTTTGTCATAAGAAATAATTCTTGTGAAGTGTACAAACCACAACGGGCCGATTCGATGGTGTTCTGGCCATGTGACCCTGTGGCAGCAAGCTTTCACTGAGACTTTACATTCGCCTGGCCAGACACCTTGCACGCGCACGTTACAACTTTTAACTTACTTGAAGATGAAAAGTCTACCATCGAAAAAGGTCACTGACGTGGTGGAAACAACGTGTTCGCAACGCCTTGAACTTGAGATGCTTAAGGGATTGCCACGGTAAATAAGGTCGATTTGGAGTGCGTATGACTTCTTTATCTAGATGCCATCACTCAACCTCTTAGTGTCATCGCGCATGTTGCTGATTTTTTTCCTGAACGGGATCTGACTAGTTTAAACAGCTGCCGTTACTGGAGGCCAGTGTGACTTGTTTCAGCGGCTTATTAAGGAGCGCCTTTTTAAATTTACCCATTTCCCTCATTAAGACGACAAGCCGATTTCAATTGCTTCAAAACAACACAGACGACTCGAAACCTTACAAGAAAAGCAAAGGCGTTACTATAAAAGTGTGTATCAAAATATAAAACGCATAACCGAGAAATGAGTCAAAAGGTGGAACACGCGGATTCAATGTCACGTCCGCTGGGTGTGCTATTGATGATCAGTTCGCCAATATGCTGATCCATCATGATCGTACATTTCAAAGTTTAATTGCTTGACTTCTGTCAATAACCCGCCTAGTTTCTATAAACACCGACGCCTTGTCACACAGAGTACATCCTCCCTACGACCCTAATAAGCGGTTGAGCCCCGCTCCGTCTACGGCCTTCTCGCTTTTTTCTGGTGGGACCGTGTCAACTCAGACTATCGGCCCCGATGAGTTCTGAGCACTACGCCAGGGCCTCCGCAATGGTGATCCCGACATTGACTGCGGTCATTGGCGATCTTCTGGCACGACTTGGGTCGTGTGTTTAGCCTGAGCTACACGCCCCAATGTAAAGCCAACCCTCAAGCCTTTCTGGCCTCTTCCATACCTCGACGAATCCCAAGTCCCTGGCCTTACACAACCTGGCTTTATTTCTCCGTTCTCACTTGGCTCAAACTAGCCTCATCTCGTGGCGCTTGTCTGGTGGACCTTTTCGAGCCACCCTCGCCTTTCTCGTCTTGGTTCTCGAGTCTCAGCCACGTCGAAAAGCCTCGTACATAATACGCTTGCGACCAATCATTACTCGTTACCATCTTTACGTTCTGCCTTTCAGAGAATACGAATTCAAGAAGGGCACTTAGCAAGTGATTACAAACAGTGAAATAACGGAGGCGAATCAGAATGACAAGGCAAATGCTGCCCCTTGCCACCCTCGCTAAATTAAATGCTGCACCCAGGAATACAGCTGTGTGTCAAAACCCTGGCCGACGTGGACCCATTTGCCAGCATGTGTCTGCGTTTGTGCCGCCCTCTGTCTCACCACGATTCAACAGCCCCGGACCTTCTCTGCTCCAGTCCTTTTGCAAGACAACAGTATTCACGATGCCTTATTTAACATTATACATCCTGGGTTAAAATAATATTAATGCGAGAGTCCTAAGATGTAACGCCAAATGCCCATATTCACAGTGTTGACCTCCTATCATAACTAGAGGTTCCGTGCCAAATCGGCCTACATTATGAAATGATAAATGGCTTCAATAAAGACCACAAATGGTGGCGTTCGATTGTTCATTGTTCGATTTCCTTCGGTTAAATGGCCTTCCAGGTGCCTTACACAACCTCGATGACCGTTACGATAATCGGGCTAGAAGAAAATCCCCATAGCTCCACTGCCTCGTGAGAGCTGTGCCTGCGTGCCAATTTCCATGTATTGCCACGGATAGTGGGGCCAGGGATCAGAGAAGCAAACAACAATAAAAAGGAATCCAGTCCTTAAACGTGACGAAAATGGGATCTGGGCCATGGTAAAGTAATCGGTAGGCAGCCCCGAAACCTCACACCTAATTGCTCACTTGATGCACTAGAAAGGTCGCATGGTCTGAAGACTACAGTGAAACAAGTTAAAATACTGATCCTGTTTCAATCACAAGCCTGATTATGTAAATGCGTTAATAAGGCATTTGTGGGTGCAAGAGTTGACGACCCCACTGCACGTCGAAACCTGCTTGGCTCGGCCTCGTGTACACGTGTTTGGCTGAGGGGAGCTCACCGCAGACCCGATAAATCCTCAGCCAGCAGCGAGGTTCGCACCAGTTGATTTACGACACGTGCGCCAATGCAAACACACATTCCAGAGTTCCGACTTTGGGGTCAGTTTTGCGCGTCGTGACACGCAGCGTTTCCTGCTGAATGACATTCGATATCGTCCTGGTGGAATTCACTATCACCTCAACGCCGTGAATTCTTAGTTCCACCGTAGTCGAAGCCTTGTCTAGGCCATGTAGCTAACACTTTAAAAAAGCTATGTATTTGAAGACGACTTAATCGAACCTGCCTCTTGCAAGCATTTTCTCTCGAAAGCCCCGCAGCAGAACAGCTGAGCAGTCTTATTTTCGCTCTCACTCTCTCCAATCACATGGTGCTATCACGTGTGAGGGAGGAGTTTCGGGCCGGGCCAATGTGGACTAGCGATAGCCAATAGGCGTCGTGTTTGGCGAGCAAGATGAGGTTTAACTGTTCAAACGAACCAGGCGTGGCACCAACTTGAGTTTGTCGTACTAGGCCTGTACATTCCTCGCCCCACATGTCATCGGACAAAGCCGCAACTTTTCACTCAACAATTGTCTTAAAGAGCTGTTACGTTGTCCCTTAGTGCTTTGTGGACAGGTCGCCTTTGTTCCCGGGTGCATAGCTCCTGAAATTCGCACACGCCCACGTCGTGTTGATGTCACAGTTCGCCTACAGTATCCACGCGTTTGAAGTGAGGAGCTTTCGGGAGGACACACTGTTCACAAGCCACAAGTTTGTTAATGCAAGCCACTTCTGTAGCTCACAGCCACACTTAGCTTTGTTCCTTCAGATTTCAGCCATCATCGCTTCTCTAAGAGCAGCTCTTTACCTGACTTGTGGAGGGTGCTGCCATCAATAGCACCATTATCTCCTTTGCCAAGTTTGTGGCCCGAAACATGTTGCAGAGTACTTTCCGAAAACTTATCGAAATCTCCCGAGACCTTTTCATTAATCGAAAATCCACTTCATCCTTTTTCATTCATATTTTAAAATTGATTGGAGGATTTGCCGACTTTAAAGTTAAGGTCTACCAATCTCCGCCCTCCCTAGTTAAATTATATCGAATTGCTTAATCCGGAGACTCGATTCTAATTTTTCTAACTTCTCCCTTAATAGTAGTAGAATTCGTGGAGTTGATGAAACACCACATCGGTCAGACCTGGCAACTCTTGATTTACGAACCGAGTTATCAGCATAAGGGAAAGAATTATCCGTGCAAATCTTTTCATGGCTTTGAGTCAGAGGACCCAAAAACTGTCTTTAAACACCTTTGTCTTAATCAACTCCAGCCACTTTCTCCTTTTACGAAAAAAAGGCGCTTGGCCTTCCTGTGTTCTAATGAACTGTGATCTTGACTTTACTTTCCTTCTTGTATATTTAATAATGGCTTCCAGATAGTACCTATTTGTCCACCTTTACATCGATTTTAAGGCACCATAAAGCGTCGAGCTTTTACAGTCTCCGTCTACCTGTTGCACCATGCGGAATTCACACTTTTTTGGAAGTTGCTATGGTTGACAACTGTCTCCATTTTCTCATAGTTTTACCTGCTTCCTCAATTTTTTCTGTGTTCGGTCTCCTTCCGACCAAGCTGCGTGTTTTACTCACTTTAAAGTGCTTAATCAAGTCAACGAATGATGTTTTAGACGGACAAAAACTATAATGACATTCGTTTCCTCTTTAGTCTAAAATGAGGACCATTCCCATAATGACACCACCCAATAGTACTCCTTTTATGAGACGGAAGTATGACTGCGCATGTTTGTGGAAATACCTCGATAGGACGCCGATTGACGCATCCCAACTCTGGCCACCATCGTTTTCGCACCGACCTAGCAAGCCTTGTTGTGCCCAATCTCAATCAAACTCAAAAGTATTTGCTATAGCTCTGGCCGCTTTTCCCGATGTGGTGCGAATGAGGAGCTTCCTGCATTCGGTGGTTATGCTTGTCTCTATCGCCGTGGGTTCCCACAGACACAACCGGTTGACCTTCCACCGCATCACCTTTTCCCCCGAAATCATTTAAATTCCATTGGCTCACCACATCCCTAACCGCGCTTGCAGTTTTATCAATCGGAATGGAATTTAACTCCATTCCCTAAGACCCTGCTTGATGACTTCTGGAGTTCGAGCGTCTCTCAAGACCTACACAAAATGTGCAGCTGCCGGAGCGAGTTTGATCCGCTTGCGTTGCGCATCCAGTAAGGGGAAATCAACGGCGCCAAGTGGCCTTCCATTCGCCGTAATTGGGATTTGCACTTCTCTTGAGAAGACGCCCCAAGGGCAGAGGGTGACCTGGGCCGACGACTAAGGCCGGTAAATGAAGGAGACGCCATCGCACCTGGACGCTGCACTGCAGGACCCCAACCCAGCGACCCCTTCAATCGGCTGTCGAGATTAATCCTCGCCTTGGTAACAGATTTGACAATTAACCTTTACGCAGGTGTGGCCACGGGGCGCGTGTCGAGCAGGCACCCTATCAAGCACGTCCACTTTGGCTAAACTTGTCAAACTCTTTACTGGATTCGACAGTTTAATTGCAACAAGATATATATATATTACTGATACAAGTTTGTTTAATCTAGGTAGGGCCGCCAGAGAAGGGTTGGAGATGATTGTCGGGGTCGTTTGTGAGATCGATTTTCTTCAGTATTCAAAGAAGAAGAAGAAGGTGTGTGCTCTGGTGGAGAAGTCAGCCAACAGTAGCCGCTGTCAGTGCTTTCTCTTTTCTGACGAAACGTTGGCAAGTCCTCGGTCAGGAGGACTGGGCGAGGTGCCAGAGGAGTTGACGTGGACATTCGGTGGGACCCAACAGGCGTGAATGCCGAGGAACGTGCCGGTACATTCTCTTGATCGTCCTCATCTTTGGCCACCTTCGAGGTAGAAGCCGCCTTCGAGTGCTGGTCTGGCTCTTTCAGAGGAACTCCTAAGCGATGCATCTTAGCCTGCAGCTCCGGCTCGCTTTTCACAAAGTCGGAGAGGCCTTGTAGTACGTTGACGCACTGGTTCAAAATATCTGTTATCTCGGTCCTTTGCTGGGTCTGCTGATGCGGCTAAAAAAAACATTATAATTGGGGTAAGCCTGACACTTTACCGGTGTCTGTCTTTCGGATTTCGGAAACAGAGCAAGTAGGTACCACTTTTCACTTCCTTTTATTTAATCGCAGACATGTGCTCATCGAAATAGCTGATTCTCTACACGAGTTCACCTATGGCTGGACTGTCGCACTAGCCACGCCGCTTGCACGATGAAAAACGGATCGATAAAGCGAGGCCCGAGCTCTCGCCACTGGTGCCTTGACAACGCAGTCGTAGAATCGATAACGGTCTTGTGTTGTGGGTGTGCGTGCGTGTGTGTATTGTGTACCCGTTCCACGCCAACTTTGGCGCTAGCAAAATCTGTGCTCGTGTAAATTAATGGCCTGCAATAGTCCTATTACCAGCCGTGAGTTGGCTTCTAACTCGGGCATGACTTTGATAAGGCAAAATTACCTACACTGAGACTGGTTTTTTCCGTAATTTGTGACAGCTACTGGACTGTGGCCAACAATAGTGAGGAGCGTTTAAAGAGAAAGGACCACGAGCATAACTCACTTTTTCACCAACGAGAGAGACCGCGAGACTGTGGAGGGCAGATAATTTATCGGAGATGCATGCTCGTCTTCGGCGTTCCATGTTCTGTTTTTTGACCTGTAGGGGAGGAAGGAGAGGTAGGTGGAGGACAGTACTCAGCTGCATGTAGGACCACTGAATTCGGGGGAGACGACGGGCTTACTAACGCGCTCATAAGGCGACGCGCCATAAGGCGACTCGCGCGGTGACAATAGATGGGGAGGGGAGGGCTGCTGGATTAGTTCCTTCATCCCACATCATCTCCTGGCTTCATTAGGCGTGCGTCATTTGCTCGCTCCCACACAAACCGCACACGTGAGCAGCAAGCTCCGAGGCCCTGTCCACCACCAATCAACAAGGCCTCGCCAGTCTCAATAACAATTTAACCTAGGTATGGGCTAGAAATTTTTGCAGCACGCTGGAACAACTTGCTTGAGAATAGGTTACACTCCATGGACGAGAACCTGTCATCATGCCAGACAGATCTGGTCCCCGTATCTACACAACGGCTTCACATTCTGTGCCGATGAATCCATTCAGGGCAGTTTAAACACCTGCTTTTTTGGCTTAACGGAACGACTAATTGTGAAGTTTCATGGACGCCTACAATTGTTGCCAAGCCATTGTTGCTACCATAATATTAGAGTGACGTGCTGTACTTCCGATTAATTTCTCTTTTTTTTAAATTAATCAGAGCACTGAGGACTCACCCGTCGTTTCATTTCCCGATCGTCCACTGGCAGGAGTGGCTTTCTTCCTCTAGCTGGCTCCGAAGAATTTGAGGCTTGATTCTCGATTTTAGGGGCTATATTGGGAATAGCAACTTGGGCCGGTCGGGAGCTATTAGCGGTACCACTAGACAAATCCACGATAATTGGTTCGACGGGAGTAGTTGCAGCAGAAATTGGTATAACATAAAGAGGCTGGTAGGGGTGGCGTATGGGGGTCGGCAATGTCGATTGTGGGTATATGCCGGGGCAATATCTCGGAGGCGGCACACGACGGTTGGGGAACATCTCGACGGAGTGGAACGAGCCCAGTGGTAGTGGGAGCGTGGCAACAGCACGCGTAAGGTATTGGCACACGCGCAACCAATCAGAGTAGCCCTGTCATCACACCCTTCTGGCACAGCCAACCAGAATGATATGGCACAGACATTGGTCAAACCATGTGCGCAAGTCTAACCGGTGTCATGCCAACTTTTACGGAGAGTATTTGTTTGAAAATCTGACTTTAAGTGTGGGAGAAGGCTTTTTTATTTTTTTTTCCAATTCTAGTTTAACTGAAAGATTCAACTCTGCAACAAAGCCTATGGCGAACAGTGGTTTAGTGAACCTCGATCCGCTTTGAAATGATATGAATGTGGTCGAGCGCAATGAAACCGTACAGATAGTTCATAATGCGAAGTTCCCAGCCATGAAAGGTTGCCGAAAATTCAATAAGAACCTATGATGCAAATTTCATAGCACTTATTGGGGGTATTAGCACACACATGCGGTTCTTTTTCGTTGGTCTAATTTAGTTTAAAGAAGTTCTTTTTGACCAACAGTCTTTTCTCAGTCTGCACGACCAACGTTGGCGAAAAATCAGCACCGTCTTTGTTGTTGGGGCTAAGCCTTCAGGACGGACATTCAAATCACCCGGGAGTCATGATTACCGGAAACAACATTCAAGAAATTAGTTTCTTCTGGCGCAAAGTTTTATCGATACATTGAATGTCATACTTTGCAAACCTTTCTGGTAGTCTGCATAATTCCTTAATATTGGACGCTCAAATCTAGATAAACAACATCCAAAACCCATTGAGAATCGTCCACGTAAACTATTTAGAAACTCTGTTAGTTCAATTCAGATCACTTTCTTAGTAAAACTCTGCATATTAAAGAGTTATAACCAATAGAAATTAAAGCCATCACGACCAGACCTCTACCCTACTGGTCTCATTTTAACTTGTCAGTTTGGTGAAGTGCATGAAAATCCGTGACTGGGCATTTTCTGCCTCTGAGAGGTTTTGGCCTACATTACAGCGAGGTTTTTTGGTTGCTAGGGCCACCTTAGCCTTAACACCCCTCCTAAGTTGGTACTGTTTCACACAGACGCATGACTCGAGCAGGTCAACAAGACACGAACCTGTCGCAGGATAGGCGGTGCATATTGTTCCCCTTATTCGTGACGAATACTTCTTTGCTAACTCACTGTTTGTCGCCCTTTGAATGCAATCCAATGTCCGACCCAAGAGACTTATCCATTATTTTGTTGTCATTCTCAAGAGGACATTTCAACGCCCAGTCAAACGTTCTCCCAACCTAAACACGTGATCCTTGTTGCTAGGTCAACCGTTGGGATGCCGTTATTCCTTTACCCTCTCCCTACGGCGTGGTCTACAATTCCCTGCTAATTGTCCGCTCGCTGGCTCGCAGTGTTTACCTAACCTCGTGCAATAGGCAAAGTGATGGCATGGCCGTCGTGACCACGTGATCAATCAGATCCTACCAGGAGCTCTAGGAACCACATAACAGGCAATCTGTCTTCTCGACAACTCTTACTAGCCACTTGTGCCTGTTTGATAGCAGGAGTAATGCAAAATTGTCCCATCGTGGTCTCTATGCCCTGTGCAGTGTCGTAACCCTGATCACTTGGAAGCGCAGTTGTCTGCGACAGAACCAACACACACGGTACACCGTGGATAGGGAGCAGGAACTAAACGGTCACCGGAAAACGACAACTTTGCTTGTCTGCCTGTGTGCGTCGTGTCCAGTTACATATTGGTGTTCTTCTGACAGGCCTGTAACACATTTACTCGAAGTGTGCGTCATGCAGAAAGCAGGGCTTATCATTTTTCTGAGTAACTCGAAAACCACAGTGGGGCGCGTGTTACCGAACCGACAAACTCCAGTTAGGTCACGATTGTCATTTCAGGTGAAATATGACAGACGAATTCGGTATTCTCACTGAACGATTCCGGTTGTCATGGCATGGAATTGATGAAGTGAATCACTGAGGCAGTGCGCAGCATAGGTAACTTTCCAAGTGGTCATGCATGACTAAGTGTTGGGTGAACAAGTTAGAACTTGTCATTTTTGGACATTTCAACAATCGCCTCTGAAATTCAATTAGTCTGGGGACGACCACTGTGGTCGCACCACAACCATCACCGCCACCACCACCACACCACTTCATCCTTTAGAAATGATTTATTGTGTCGCCTCTGAATGGAACGTGACTTGATATCAAAAACCACACACGCAGTGCACATACGCGCACACCATTGACCACCCAAGGGTTACGGGTGAGAGGAGTGGTGGTGGTGGTGGTGGTGACGCGATTTAGTACTGCGCGTGCACTGGGACTTCACCTTCACCCTGTGCACCCGTTGATCTCAAGGTGAGGAGCTGCAAGGGCACCGGCCCACCAGCAGCGATTTCATCTAGCGTCTCTTAGTCAACTGCACAATGTGGTCAACCAGCTGTTTAGTACCTAACAATAACTTGGGCGTAATCTGATCCGCCCCATCATGTCACTAGTCTATTTCGGGCTTTAGACTGGTCTCAAAACCAGCTGCTTTTATTTCTTTGGGTTGACCATCCTTACTTTCTGATCAGCCCACAAACAACAGGGGGGGAATAAGCACAGGCCTATTATTATTACTCGTATTATTCTCATTTTACTTCATAGGCCGATACATACAAGCGTCAACCACTGATACCTTGTAGAGTGTTAGATTTGGTGTGGGTGTATAAATCTATGCAACTCACGACTAGGCTACAGAATGCGCAATAGCCATTAATATCTTTTATTTCGTTTCTAGTAGTGATGCTCAAGACGCAAGGAGTCGTATAAATCGGCTCAATGAGTACGCATTGTCACTGCTGTTTGACTACTTTTATCCACCTTGCCAGACTGACTGTTGAGGCCTACAAGTTCTCCCCTGATTAAAGCCAATCCATGCTTTCCTACATTTTAGACGACAGAGAATTTTAACAGGGGACCACTTCGCTTAGTCTGGGTTCCGGTAATCCGATCCCCATGGCACGGGCACGTTTAGTTAGATGACACACGATGTGTATCAATATGACAGAACTACCACCACCGCCGTCGCCGCCGCCCCCCCCCCAACGCCCAAGCCAGGCGCAACAGGACATGCGAGCGCACGTGTGCGTACGCGCGTGCGTGCGTGTGCAAGCTCGCCTCAAGTGCCAATGCGTCGGGGCGTGCGAGCGTGCCCACAGCACGGTTGGGACGCCGTGCCGCTGTGGCTGATGTGAACCCGAGTTGTGCTCGATTCCATGTGTGTCCGTATTTTTGCCCCTGCTCTGAATGGGCTTGTGATTGTGTGTGTGTGTTCCATGAATAGTAGCAAAAGTGATCACTTTAAAATGTAAAATTCTAGTACGTGTTCTGTAGTCACTGCTGGTAGCTAAGACACGAGAAACGTGGTCACCTACTCCACAAATATAGGAGCTTCAATCAAACATCGGTCTGGTTCGGATTGTTCCGAGAACTCAAGCCTTCAAGCATCCAACTTATTGGGGAACAACTTTAAAATCAAGCAGCAATACATTTTATAATGGGCCTAAGGCACATTCAATTCACATGTCCAACGCGGTTCATTGGCCAAATATTGCCATAATCGGAGTCCGTTTCATGCGTTTACTGATAACTGTTCTAAAAAGATACCGAATTTACGACGGTCTTTGTAATTATATTTTAGCTACATGAGAATCAACACTTTTGATGCACGACTGTGGTGCGCGAATGGTCAAGGTCTAGTGTCAAAAAAACAGAATTTATTTCCATGGCAGATTTTACATACTTCAAAGGAAAGTCCATTCGTGAGTCACTGCACAAGATTCTAATAAATCAGCATCATTTATGTCCCCGATGAAAATAGTAATTCACAGAAATGGAAGAATTCCGTGATGAGGTACATTACGCCTAAATGGCTATAAATCGACAATCAGACTTAAGGTTTAGTGCAGTACCGTGTCCTAACTTAGAAATGAAGACGAGCTATGGAGTAATGCTGCACGGTCAAGCATATAGCCTCGTTATTAGCAGGTCAGGTCCTTTTGTCTGAGGTGACACTCGCCGTTCTATACCTAAAAAGTTTCTCGCATATCCATGAGTCCGAATCTGCGGATATCGACCAAGCTCAAATGCCAGCAGCATCACCGTCTGGTTGATGAACAATCGGAAGCACCTCTCTTCTCCGAGGTTCTACAGGTCGCCTCTTCAACAAATCTATCTGACTACAATGATTCACCCATTTTGTTTATTTTCAAACCACGTTGATCGCCCCCGCATGGAGTTAGACAGGGGCCGCTTTCAGACACTTGGTCCCAGGCAAACTAAAGTAAGCAATCCATTAATGGGATCCGCTCTCCATACCCCCGACATCTCCCTTAAGGCACATTGATGTATTTCGTAGTTCTACTGAATAAGCGATGAATTTAAACCCATCTATCGTCGCGCAGTACTACAGGGATTATACAAAATGAAGGTTATAGTCCCCGGCAGTGAATTCCTGTGTGTCTTCGTTGCAGTTCAATGTGGTTTAAATTTCATGATTATTAAACCCAAAACCCTTTGTGCACATGAAGAGTAGTGTCTTTCCATCAAATTTATACCCGTCTCACCAAACGGGTGTGCTGCGCCTGCGATGTCGTTTTATGCAGGTGACGTAACAGTACCCCTACTTTTCTCGGTCTCTGGTTAATCAGTTGGCGAGTTTAAATTCCTTCGCCTTCCCCACTGATTCTCCCGTCTCTGAAACCGAACCCTGTAATGGTTCCAACTAATTCCATAGCTCTAACTATTGTGGTTCACACGCGGAGATTTTTCGAAGACTTTTTTAGACCATTAGGTTGCCTTGACATAGCTTCAATATTCACATTTTGGCAGTAATTAAGGATTGTTAACTGCAAATAAGGAAATAACTTAATTCACTCAGAGGTTGTTTTTCCTTGCCAAGAGCCCGTTCACAGCCCCGGTGGGCTGTTTGGGGGTGCAAGGAGTGGGGGAGGGCTAGTGTGGAAGTGTTCATTGGCCGTCACGTGTGGATGGCACTGGGTCACGTACCTTTGGCTGAGTCCACGCGTGGAAGAAAGGCAACTGTGTGCCATTTGTCCAGGATCTGGTAACAAAATCCACCATTGCCTACAAGTATTTGTGAGACCAGGTAAACTTAACATTGTGATTTACGTAGCATTCCTAGTTAATTTCAAAAATCTGCCAGTCACAATTTCCACTCATCGTGAATGGTTAGAAAGTGGAAGTTGTTTTAATATAGCAGAAAAGTGCAAAGTTGGAGCCGATGATCGATGAAGATCTGTTTGTGTTTATAAGATATTTGTCGCGTTGTCTAGCGTCCCAATAACAATTTCTTGGGAGTTAATCGAATTTGCTTCGCACTCGATTCTTGTAGGACGACGATGTTTCTCAACCTAGAGGTCCGGAGGTGCATGTGTGTGAGTGTAGCAGTAGCGACCCTTAAACGAGCATAACGTGTTCCAGATCTTGAATAGGTGCGTAAGCACCCACCAAGGAATGCGAGTCAGCTAAAAGTTCGAGCAGATGAATTACGATTGGAAATAGGGTCTGTCGTAAAGGGGACTGCAGTCCATGGACGGTAAGCTCAACAGTGAAACAGCCACCTAAGGGGTGTGGCCATCTCCCTCTCAAATAGGCTCCGCCGAGGTGAAATTTGACGGTCCGGATCCTTCAACTGAACTGTACAGAAGGATGGCTCGTGATTGCATGACACACCCGCAGACCTCGTTTAACAATTCCCAGTCTTTCCTTATTGCAGTTTACGAGTTGCGGTGCTGGTGAATCAGCCAATGTGTTCAGGTTTGCATGCCATCCCCTATAATTAAGCCACTTGTTGGTTAAAGCAACTCATTCGTAACGATCAAACTGTTTGACGAAATTGACGAGACGTGACAAGGCGCAACAAGGGCGTCCGCTGCCCAACATGAATGCGACATCTTGTCCTATTAATGCTTTTACAGAGGCATTATACTGAAAACATGGACTCAGATGTCAAGTTTTATCTACCCTTTAGACTACCTGGGGGAATAAGAAAGAAATTTGCTTCCAATGGCCACGGTTACGAGGTCGTTGAGATGAGACAGAGGACGTTGTATTCATAGAAGATGGCATTCGAAAAACAACGCCTTAGCTACTTGAAATCAAAAATAGTTGACGGTTCTTAAATAGGCAGAAGATTCGCTTTGAATTGTCGTGGAAAAGTCAGGCCATGGCGTTTCTAACATGCGGATGTGCCAGCATCGCAGAGAATTAACTTGACCAATTTTAAGTATTCGGGCCTTTTTTTATTCTCCGATGGCTGTAGCCGTCTTGAAGGTGGGCTGCGTCTTGCGTGCGAGTGGACTTGTCGTCAGAAGAAGAGGGGTCGACGTGACTCCCGATCGGTCCGCCCCGTACACCTGTTTTCCCCGTTCGATTGTATCGTTGCTGATGGAGACGTCCTCCTCGAAACACCGACAACGCACGTGCGAAGCGCCACGCCATTCTCCCCCCGCCCTGGCCACCTGTGAGCACTACTTCACCTCGTGCCCTGGCAACCGACTCTGAAGGCGTCTTATTAGTTAAAAGATTGAATAGTTGTCACATTACACCCCTGGAGAGCATAATTTACAAAGGGGGAATGAGAGGAGTAGCGGTGCAGGCGAATGCGAAGAGGCGTACTCTTTGCATGGCCCATTTTCGCTTCAATACTTAGGAAAATTAGAAGAACACACTATGGAACACTATGATAGACAGATGAAAGGACCCAATTTGTCGGTGTTGGCCGGCTATTTTTACTGAGGGCCTAAATGGTCAGTTAAACAAGTTCTTGATGGGTCCAGTTTCAGACCGGTGGGAGTAATAGTAGTAGTGGTTAGTGCAAAGTGTAGCCTTCAATGAGTTAAGATCGGAATGTGAAGAGAGCAATTTATATTGAGGGGAGTGCAGCATTTCCAAATGGCCATTCACGAACAGAGCTTTACTATAAATAATGCAACTTTGCTAAAACGATGCTCATGTGAACAAAGTGGTTTAACCAGTTTCGAATCATGCGCCATAACACGGTCACGCCGCTTATTATCAACAACAAATGTGTCCCCAGAGAGTGTTTTTGTCATCTTAAACATTAAGACTTTAAATTTGAGTGTTAGAATGTTGTAATGTTTTAAATTTACGCACGACTTAAGCCCTGATTTGAGCAACAATCTTCACCGATAAGGCTACCGTCGCTAGTGCCTATCCGCTCAGTTGGAAAGTCACAACAACTGACTTAACAGCTAACTCGTGCTCAGTCTAACTTCCGACGCCGCCGTCGCCACCAACATGTCGTTGTCGTCGTCGTCGTCACAAGCATTAAAGTGAACGTCCGAGCCATCGTTCCTCCTGGTAACTCGGCAACAATAAATTCCACCACATTTACGACGGAATGTATTTGAACTTGGAGGTGTTATCCGGAGGCTTGCTTTCTTGTCACTGAGACAGCATTCTTACACTCAGACATGGTTCTGTCTAGTTAAAATGGCTTCAAGATGAATGTGAAAACGTTTGGCAAGGCGACCTTGAAAGTAAAAAAGACTGGAAGAGTAGGAGCACGTGTTCAAATGAGTAACTATGCTCTTATAAGGGTCCTGGTGACATCAAAGGCCTTATCAAATGGGCACGAATTTTTACTGTTAATAATCAAGAATAAGCAGCAGCCAATAAGGTAAACTCTGGCTTGCATTCTTCTGCGAAGTGGATGAACAGATAAATGCCTCATCTTACTTCGTCGAAAGCAGCTAAATCAAACGGAAATGTGGCCATTCATTCATTCAAGTTTCCCTGGCTGCCTGACAGTCCCAAGATGCGCTTACGGTTGTCATTAACAATGTTCACCCCATGCTAATTATCCTCTCGAAAGTGACTTGTGCGAGAACAACTCTGGCCATGCTCCATCCCACCTCTTCTCAAAAGTCCAGCGATTATAATGATCACCCTCCCTCTGACCATTGCATGACCCTAACCCTAGCAAACGGGGCACATTCAGTTCTCCTTTAAAGCTGGACCAAACTGTGGTGGGCAGTGGTTGCTTGACTGCCTGGCCCATCAGAAGGAAACAGGTAGTAAGACAGGCGTGAAAGGTACTTCTGACCAAAGTGCATCCACATCAACCCCCGAACTCAATCCTGTGCACTAGCTGGCTTTCAGGATTCTTTACTTTCGTTACTGTTCATTTCATCAAACCTTTCAACCTTCAGGCAGCTTGCGATTCTTCATGACGCCTGACAACGAGTCTTGGGACCGTTATTTCTACTTTTACGACTTCTTTGTCCGTTCTACACGAATGGCGCTTGCAGCGGCTGACGGACCATCTCCACTAGGGCGTGCAGACGTAACTTGCCCAAATGCTAGGATTTTCCTCAACCACAACAACTTGCCTCTTGGTCTGGTTTTAAAACAGAGGGACATTCCTCCTTGAACCACGAAAAAAGAGACTACCACACCAAGTTAGACAAACTTGCATTATTGTTAAGGGCAGAAACTAAATGTAGTAAATACACAGTAGGCGTTTGCGTTGAATTCGCTTGATGTTAAAAAAAAGTGGAGGTTGTCAAAGGAGGGGATATGATGGAACCAGCCATCCGCGAAATGCTGCTTCGATAATTTTGGTGCAGTGGTGTCACTCACCAAAGTCACCTTCACCCAACGAATAGGGCAAACACCTAGATTGTGTGCAACCTAACAAAATGGTTGCTTGCAAATCCACAGTCTACGCCATTTGTCCAGCAGAATGTAGATCTGAAGCCGTTGGTGAATAAGAAGGTTCGCTCTATGAACAGTTAAGCCCTAAGAAAAATCTTGGCAAATTTAAATAACTGTGAATTTTCTTTTCTTCCTAACCATTTCGTATTGTCGGATACTACTTATGTAAGAATCACTGTTTTACCTTGTTATAGTTATTGTCATATTGTCATCTAGTCATTTTTGAATCGACTTGGTTTCTCGTCGTTTGTTTGGGACAGACACGGAGATGACTGGGACAAATACACCATTTGGACAAAGCCACTCCAAAGATATGCTAATTGGATGTGTAATCACTGGTAGTTTTAGTTTTGAGGCTCTTATAGTTCAGTCTAATGCACTTTAGTGGTTCCTCACTAAGGTTTTCTGCTGTTCGTCTCATACTGTACACAAGCCCCCGTTTCAGTCATGGTCATGTACTCGTTTATGCCAATCACGTCATCTTTTATTGCTAAATGTTCTTTATCCTGTCCACCATGGACCTCCCAACCTATTTCAGCCCCCTAATTAAGAAGCACACAAATGAACGTTAAATTCCTTGGGATCTTACAACTGATCTTTTGACAATTCAGCCAATTGGGAATTTAATCTGAGCCTAAAACGACTTCAATTATTTCAATTCATTTGACCATTTAAATGCGACAACATCCCAACATGGGAAGCCAATCGTCTTGAGATTAAATTGTTAATATTAGTGGCGTTTTAATATGCACCTTATTAAAGGGGGGACTTTAGTGTGGTCACCGCAAAGGGGGTGCCACCATTGATCACCGCGATCAATGTTTATTATCATTGCGGACAGAGCGTGTGCACGCGTGGCGGCCCCCTCCCCCTGTCCACCACCGCCCTCGGACAAATTGCGCAGATCTATAAAACCGCCAGCGATACCGCTTTTAGATGCGATCAACACCCTCAACTTAATACTTCGAGCATTAATCCCACGGTAGGCAGGCCTGTCACGGAGCCGGGAATAAATTAAATTATAACTTCCTAGAAAGTCGTTAGACAGGACGTCAGATGGTTAAAGACATAATTCTGAAGCCTTTGCCGAGGAGCCAAGTTGCTCCTTGGTTACGAATATGCCAATTCACTTTCCTGCCATACTTAGGTAAGGAACTTCAAACATTAAAACGAGACTTGAAAGCGTCGCCTGTGAGGCTATGTGGTTGGGTTTATACAATTTGGCACAGTGTGCCTAGCTAATGTGGCATCACCACTTCAATCAGATTTTTCTCTCCTAAACCAGAAGCCGTCTCAGCGAAAGGACAAATAGGGACAATTGAACAACGAAACCATAGGTAAACGTCATAACAGAACCCAAGTAACCCACTACAAAGGGAACCTCACTTAGTTTGTTGTGGTGCCCTGGACTATGGGCTTTATTTATACAATCCGGGGTAGGGGCTGGTGATGTGCCTTATGAACATGCACTGCGCGCCATTGGTGCAAATTATTAAAGCATGGCTCGTCACTAGACTTGTACATATTCGAGCTACTAATTCCTTCCGGAATTAATTGTATAAGCGATTTATTGACTTAATTGGTATTGTGAAATCACACACCTGATGGCGGTTTATGAACAATTTAAGGTGGACAGACGGAGGTTCCGTCGTTGGTGTGGTTGGGACAGCCCCGGCCCTCAGTCCGGTCGACCGCACAAGCCACTTGGTGTCAAGTGGATCCACAGGCATCAGATGACTTGGTTATTGCATCCGACGCGGTGCTGTGGGTGCCCATGCGTGAAAACGGGGTGGGCACCAGGTGCGCGAGGTGGTTGCGCCAACCCCTGCATTGTGGCATCAGTAGGAATAGACGCGAACCACTGTTAGCAAGACGATTCGCAATCCACTAACATCTGTGTAGTGCAATTGTACATAGGCCCGTGACTCGTTTTCACGTCAGCCATTCATGACTTAGTCAATTCTTTCCTTGAGGACGTGGAACGACTTGCGCGGCATCACAAAGTAACGACCAGTCTGAGGAGCGCCTATAGACCCATCGACTTCGTCGATAGCCTCTAACCCTTCTGGTACCCCAATATTGTGCCTTCTAAATGTAACACCAAGAATTTATGAATACTGCCTGAAGTGTCTTGAAGGATTACAAGATGCCATCAAAATATGCCAATTTGATGCATTTGGAGCTAAAAAACATGATTCTTGCAAGTGTTAAAGTTAGTGGAAAAGGCAACGCTGGTCACAAAATTATCCAGAAAAAACCGGTCGGTTGGGTCTTATGCATACGCCACTTCACAGCAATTCTAATTCTGCACTTCTTTGCTTAGAACATGGCAAAATGTCATCGTTTTAACTTCCTGAGCTTTGAATTGCAGAGAAACAAATCGAAAATTACGTTACTTCTTGCATGAAAGTCATCTATAGCACTGTCTCGTGTTCTTTAAGTTAGCTGTTCGATAGTTGGTCAGCGTTCGCCGTTCTCTGTCTTCAACAGTTTTGCGTTTGAGATTATTGCAAGTGGTAGATGGAGATGTGAAGCCATGACGGATGGAAACTACGAGTTTTGCTAAGATGGTTTTCATTTTATTTCTAATTCCCTTTTGCCAAATTGGTTAACTTGTTGCTTGTGTCATTTAAGGGGCGCAAACTTTGGAAATATTAACCCCAGGATCGTTGAAACTCTGGGGTGATCGCAATCAGCCGTCAAAACAGCCAACCAATCAGATAAACTGTGTTTATCCTAGCGAGCTATGTGCTTTCAGGGGTCATGCTCGATAGGCAAAGGGTTGCGCCGCTTGCTTATTGAACCCCGAGTGTCGACCGGAAGCCAGCTCCCCCTAGACCAGCTTTTCACACCCCCTCTGAAGTGGCACGCCGGCTCAACAAACAGGTTGAAGAGGGGGGGGGCAGGAGTCGAGTGGCAAAGGCCAAAAGGGGGTGGTGTGTTTTGGTGGAGGTAAAAACAAGCCACTCACATGGGCTTGTTCACTCCGACACTTTTGGCATCATTTATGTCGTTTCACAACACACTTTGAAAGATTAGATATAGTCAAGTGATTTGGGCTAACCTAGTCTTATTTCGGCTATGCCAATGTGGATAAATTTATGAAAAATGTGAATGAATTAGCCAATTTCGTGTGCATTTCAGGTGACTTATTTTTAATACCTGAATCCCAATAAAGGGCTTAGCACCTAGTAAGTTGCCACGGCTATGTATTAAGTTCGATTCTCACTTAATCGCCTGACTTGTCTGTCATCGGTTTCCCACTACCAAGACCTTTTTCGGAAATGACCTCAGTCTGGGACATTAAACTCCAGACGACTCTCACTTTAGTTAGGAGCGGAAATATCGACCCTTGTGTTCCACACCACAATCCATTCACTCGCTCGTTTAACGATTTTTCTTTGGTCATGTTCCTAAGGCTGAGGAGATGTAGGCATGAGCGACACCAAGTTAATCAATAGACACATAGTCGAGTGTCACGTTGTAATCGTTCAGATCCATGTGGTGGATGTCGTTGTGTTGGCGTTTGTGCGATTACTTATCCATTCAAGCTATAAAACCCTCTTTAACATCAAGTTTGAACGCAGAGAGGAAAGAAAAGGGCATTTGATGGGGAGGAATAAAAGGGAAGCTTTTTCCAATGATTCTTTCTGTTAAGTGACAAGCCCTAACTCTTTTAATAATTACTTGTGGTCCTAAGGTGGGAATTTGCAGGCTTAGCGCAAAACTGGATCGCGGTCAACAGAAATACCTTCGTTGAACACGCACACATCGAGCAAATTTTACAGGTGGTGGACAGGGGAGTGGCGGTTGTGGGCACTTTGAAGTCGCCTCGCATAATTGATGCCCCCAAGTGTCAACCCCAGGTGCCCCTCCGGGTCCTCTCTTCCTGCGGCTTTTCAGCCCACTGAAAGAGGGCACACAGTGTGCTGATTTTGAAGCGGTGCCCCTCCACTACCCCGCATGGGTCCCTTGGGGCGTGAGAATGCGCCCACGGTAGTGGTTTTCGCAGATGATTTATGTCGTCTGGACATTGCAGGGATCCACCGTAAACACAGACATGGTCTCGTTGATGGAACGAGGTGTGGAGTTTCGGCCGTCACGTGTCTTCCATTATATCATACCCAGGCGTGTTACGAAAATGATAGTAGTGAGCCGTTCTTCCTGACAAATGCGCGGCACCCTTTGTAACAATGTCGGTTTTCGTCGGGTAAAAAGCCAATATGTTTGCTTTAATGTTAAGGGCTTATTCATTGCAGATTTGGCAGTAACATTATGACTATTTTCCGGCAAACACGCAATAATCCTACATGTTTTTGTTTTTGTACATTCCACTGCTCATAAATCAGCCACGAGACAGGAATTTTATGAGATGACCTTTTGAGTGATATCTGCCGGAAGTTCAGAGCCTTCCACTAAGCGTTGGATTCGACTTTCAAACCGCTAGCAGACTCACAAATATGGACCAGGGCTCAGTTGACACTTACATTTTTGTCATTAACAAAACTAAACACGTAATAACTAATGATATTTGACTAAAATCACAAGCCATGATGATTCTAACTCGGGTGGATCATTCTCGAGGTTTGTCACAACACCCCAAATCGCAATATTTTAGAGTGTAGGTATTTCAATGCCTTTGTATAGAGAATAAGGAGACAACACCACAAGCGCCTTTTTTATACTGAAGTGGCTCACTTTATAAGACTAAGATGCTTGGGTTACGACGATCCACCAGGGAGACAGAATCCACCAGAAAAACACTAATAAGGCGCTAGTGGTGCATTTCGTGGAGGTTTTTTGGAGAAGGCCTGGCAACCCACCACAACTGGCACCGCGCAATCTGGCGGTTGCCTAAGGGGCTGCAATCACGGAGGTTAACCCACCGCCCTGAACACGAGAACTCGATATTTCATGGTCAAGACACTAACGTCAGCTCATTTTCACTAGCCCTACACGGAATGATGGCTATCAGTGCGCCCACGTGAGATGTGCTCAATAAAATTAACTAGTGCTCTTATTAAGCATGAACAAATTGTTCTTGAGCTCCATCGCTTGATTCCTGTTGACTCCCTCACAAATTGAATTTCGTTTAAGGATTTTACTTTCGGTTGAATGTAAACTTCATACATGTACCAGCACATTGTCACACAGGAAAACAATCAAGCTGTTACCGGATGACAGAGGTCCTACATTCTTCACTGATTCGCCAGAACAAACCATGGCGCCTATTTCAGTAGAAGGGATGAGAAGTTCCCTCCAGCCGTGGGTGTTCAAATTCGATTTCAAACCCGTCAAGACGAGAACACGCGGCCTCGCGACACGCTGACAATAAAAGGAAACCCCTCTCAGCTCAACTTCTGCACGGTTGCTAGGGTTACCTATAATTGCTACCATTATCACTGCGAACCGCGCAACCAGAGCAAATGTGATTTGCCACCTGACCAGCCGCCTCGTCTCCCGCCTCCACAGATCCCCTGTTGCCTCACGTCATCAGCACGTGGTTGCCGGGTTGTGCCAATAAAAACAGCCGTGGTAGCCCCTTGTATTGGTGATCTGGCGGACTGACACCACTTCACTGTGGCAATCGCCATGTGATCTAGTCACTTGAGTTTAACGTATGTGTCATTACCCTAAAACCTTGTGTGATTAAGTTTACAAAATCCCGTCACCATACTTGGGAATCGCTTCAGTTTAGTGACGCGCCTTTCAATAAAAGTCCTATACACTTAATCCTCTTATTGTCGTCTCTTTTACTGGGATTAAAATGCACCAGACAAGAACACCAAGATAGATGTCTTCCCCGTGAGTGTGTGTGTGAAGTGGTTGTCCAGAGGAGTCATTGACCCTGTTTTACAGACGGGTCCAGCTCAGTTGCCCCTTCTCAATTACCAGAACCGCAGTGCTGGCTGCACAGTTGTCTAATTGGAAAAGATAATCCACTCAGATACTGGCGGTGTCGAGAATGGGTTCCCACTGTCTCAGTGCCTTTCCCATGAACGGTAACTTCACTGTTGGGTCAAAAATTGTGGTCACAGTGCTAAGAGTTAATCACATGGATTTTAGACACAAACGTGAAAAAACCAGGATGCACCTTACCAGGACTGCACTTCAGGAAGCCCGTTGACAAGACCGCGCCATTGCTATCTGCGCACTTCGGTATCTGCTTCAAAAATGGTCGGACTGTCGCCGTCTGATGGTACACAAAGGGGTTTTTGAAAACAGCCTAACCTGTACTCCCGACGTTGCAAGGCTGCAAAGCGAAAAAGCCTTAAATTGAACGGTTGTCTTAGCGTTTTCCATCCCACCACCTCATTCTGCTCTTCTCGTTACAACACATCCAGATGCCAACCAACTCCGGGGCTCAGTTAGAGATGTTTGGCATGACTTCTGTTTCGATTAGATAAGGAACAACTTCAGGTAAGGCGAAATCCATAATCGCACTTAGAAGAGGTAAAAGAAGAAGAAGAAGAAGAAGAAGAAGAAGAAGAAGAAGAAGGATGACTGAAGTTGTGGTGAACCGCAATTTTTATTTTAGTTCAGGCCATAGAGGCCCAATGGTATATGCAGTAGTTTAATACTTAGATCTGTACGCACAGTTGGCTTGCCCACTTGCGAGGAACATTTAAACCGGGCAAAATGTCCTTATGTGATGTTCTTTTAATTGTGGAAAACGGGCTTTCCACATTCCCTCATCGGTGGATTCCCGCTGACAAACGGCAGTTGTAAATGCTCCATGAGTTGAAACTTCTTGCTCTTGACTCCACACAGTCCTCAAACCAACGATCGATTTTGAGTCGGAAGTTGACCCCGACAAAGTGGTCTTTAATTGGGGAGGGGGGGGGATTAAGACGATACGCGTTGTGGCGACTTGTAAGATGATGATATCATTCCCTCCCCACCTCCAGCTCACCCTAATACCCACCTGATGACATGATAGAGGTGGCATATAACACAATTAAATCATTCGACCCATTATCCTGCTATCTCTCTGCCACCGTCCTCATCCATCTAAGATTCCACAACCCCGGCAATGTTATTTGCGTTACGAATTACATCCACTTCCCGGGTCTTGCTAATTTCGCGTGGTCACACTCGGACCACTTACGGCCCGATCTACTTAGCGGCAAGCTATTGTCGACCTCATGTCTATCTCCGTCAATTAATCCTAGGTAAGCCAGTGGGAGGTGTTGTGGCCTTTGTCTTGCTGTGTGTTGAACAGAAATCATTCCATGGGTCCCCGTAGTTTGTTCTTGATGTTCTGGAAAAAGCTCATTGGAAGGCAGAAGAAAGAAGCCTTTCCTCATGTAATTACTCAATTCCAACTGGAAAAGCGCAACCCTTTCCCTGAAATCTTTATAACCGAGGGCGTGAATGAGTGCGGGTGCTTTGGTTTCTCTATTTTTTTGCCGCATAATAACAGTGAAGCAAAATAATCAATGAGGGAAGAAGCAGAATCAAGTGTCACTCAAACACATAATGTTAGTATAAGTATGGCCGCCAGAGACGAGTTCGTTTTCTCAGCCGAAGGTGACAGTCGTGCACTAAACGGGACAACGAGGGAGGGCTATGGGGGAGCCCATTTGGGAGGGAGGCCGACTGAAAGAACCCAGAACACTAGTCAAGGCAAGTTTCCTCCGCACATTCCCGCATAACCTGAACGCGTTCCCTGAGGCCTGGTTGCTCCGTGATAAACTCGCTCAAGTTCCTCAGCACACCGTGACAGAATGCGAGGACATCAGCGTTTTCGGTTCGAGGGCATCGCTCGGGCTGTAAAGAAGACTCAAGTGAGACAAGCTTTGTCTCTAACTCACCATTAAGCAAGAACACTTCCGCACAACTTATTCGACCTCTTCAGGTAGCAACGAATTAAACGGAGATCGACTTAATTCTAACCCGTATATGGTTGCAATAATTTGCACGCAAAGATTCAATTCAGACCATAAAATCGAATCAACATTATACTTAGGCACTTGCATCTATGTCAACCATTGAGAGAGCAAGTGAATGCAAGGTTGCGACGCTGTCAGCAAAACAGGTCCTCCTTCTACGCTCCATGTCCTCCCTCTTAATCTAAAAAGATCAAATCTGGTTAATTGTAGCCAAAGCCCTTTTTTCAATTCAAGAATTCCAACATATTTACTTTTCTAAAATAATCGGACATTTCTGATGAAGTCTTCATAATGAATTTTCGATGCGTCGTGGGTCGAAACAGTGAAGATTTCATGGGAGTCGCACCTATTTTGGCGGTGGGGATAACAAAGGGACTGTTTACAGGTGAATGGACCATGGCCAAAGACAGCTTCATCGCATACTTATGCGAAGGGAGTACTGGAGTACAAGCCGCAGGTGATTTGTACGTTGATTGGTGCCACGTTCAGCCAACAGGTTAACTGCCGTAGCCGCGTGTTAATATTATCAACCAATCGTAGCTTCAGAGAGTATCGCATTGACGCATGTTTGATGGTGGTCATTGTAACGGGTATCGTTAGTGCACGTAGCCCTCTTTAATTTCCACTTAATTTTACTTCCCAAATACTTCCAACTTGCTGCACCTACGGCTGCATAAGCCTAAAATTACGTTTAAGAGATTGGTGATTATATCTTACGTTTATGATTTTACAATTAGAGTAAGGTTTACCAAATCTGCAGTCAGTGTTGCATTTCACTGCCTCGAAAATATCATATTACTCGGACGTCACTTTAGTTGCTAATGAAAATGACATGACAACGAGGAGAGGATTGCTCAGGACCAGCGGCCACTGAAGCTGAACGTGACGATTTCAAGTGTTGAGGCAAGGTGCCGACGCGATCTTTACTTTCCGTGACAGCCTTAACATGAGGGCCTAATCTTCCATCGCTATGTGTCATCACGTAGCTGAGACCATTACACCACCTCCGAAGAGGTGGTAAAGTTAACATAAATTTATGGCTCAACACCACACAAATGACAGCGCGTAACGGTAAATGAGTTAAGTAGAATAGCTAACTTAACTTGATCAGCATAGCATTGGCTCCTCCAAACCGGGTTACCGAAATGGAAAACCAACTCTGACCGCTTGGCCTTTACCAAATGCTTCGTTTTCGCTAAGCACCCCGATTCAAAAGCATGCTTGTGACAGACATTGGGATATTGGTCACTTTGCTTGGGTTCCATAGCTAGGTCTAGGGAATATAAAAGTCTGTATTTAGCACGTGGAGGTAGCCCATGCACTAATAGACAACGGTAATCGGAAATCAGGGTGCCCAGACAGGTTGGCAGCATGGACTGTCCATCCCAACAATGGTTAGCGCAGTTTTTTCACTCGGATGCGGCTGTCTCACTGCCAAATCGAACCCAACTTCGTTGCTTGAGAGTGCGTTTTCGTGGTCTCACTAGGTGTATGTGTGCGTAAGTGACGGGGAGAGCTTATACGTAGTTTCGGAATGGCTATGCGCCTTCAAACAGGACTGCTTGATGACACCATGTTATTGTTTAAAATTGGTGCTAGTTAGAAATTTCCAGCGGTGGTTTCTGTAAAGTGGTGAACTCATTCGCCTTGACGTTTTTTTGATTATAAGTGGTCTAGTTGTCAAAGACACCGACTTAATGACCGAAGAATTCTCAAGCAACTCGACCTGGTGTGACATTGAGGCAATTTTCCCAAAACATTCAGGGGTTTTAGCCGGCCATGCATGCAAAATGAGCTCAACGAATGATGTGCTTGTGTGAGACGGTATGAAGATAAGCATCACCTCGGCAACATACACGCTATGGCGCTCGCCGGGAGAACGACGCCAGATTGTCGGCTGACCCACTCTAGTCTAGTCACGCTAGTCTCGACACGTGTTCGGCCAAAGCTCACAATCAATTATAGCGCGTCCTCATGAATAATCGATAAAAAATGTCAAACGGTGGCGTGTTGAATGCCACGACGTGGACTGGTGACTTGTGGTTACCGGGTTATTAGGCCTTGCCTTATTCAGCCACAAAATGACAACGCGCATCCTCAGCCATGTAAAAGTTGGCAACGACCCAGTTGCATTTAGTTCGGTTGGGGCTATTAAAATCTCACAAGCCGTCTACGTTGAAAACTTGGAGGAGTTCAGGGATTAATGCAATCAGGACAGCCATGCCATGCCGTGTAGACTGGTTTTCGTCTGAGTGCGTCACCACCAGTCATGCCGTCGAGTCACAAAGGCTAGCGTCCACCAGTGCACTAAATACGTGGCTGTGTCTGATAAACTGAATCAGTCCTTTAGTGTAAGATTGCCTGTGATTGACCTAAACTCAAGCTGTTAGAAGCACTGGGATCTTTCATTGGAGGACTTGACGGTCTCTTTGTGTGGACAGCTATAAATTCCCTATGGATAAATAGTTTTACCGGCAAACGGAAACATCCTCAATGGGACAACTGGAGGCCTTTTCTGGGTGCATTCGTATACTCCGAGTTAAATAGTTCAATCAAAGCAATAATATCTACTTTGGATTTGCTAATATAATAGCCTGAGTGCTGGATTGGTTGAGTCCGAAATCACTCGATGTACACATCGGAAGTAGTCAGAGCGTTCGACTGAACCCGCTGAGATGACCATGTTCTAGGTTTATTTACTGGCCTCTCAAAAACTGGTTAAATTATGGTGTGGGTGCCATAACTTGCGATCCTTCATCTTTTAAGCGATGACTGTTAGGTGGAGCACAGCCTGAAGCTCAATCACCTGTCCTTGTTTCATACGGAGAGATCGGCTATGAACCACCGTGACACGTTACCGTGTTTACAGGATGTGACCCCTTTTGTGAGGCAGTTCAGGCTTTGATGGAATTGATTTTGGTAGTGGCACATTGCATGGTTGGGGCGTAACTGATACAGACCCTAATTAGTGCGGTGGTAACAGAATTTTTTTGGATGGGGGGGGGGGAGGCTCACCTGGATTAACCTGATCCAGGGTTACGTCAGCCATCACAGGTGCAGGTTTTACCTGTCGTGACAAAATTAACACCAACTTTGTAGATTCATCACATCAAGTAGGATATCTGGAAACACGCGATCACCAGTGTTTCCACAAGAACACTAACATTGATTCTCCATGTTTCGTTGGCAATTTCGATTTGTTCCAGTTGTTTGACAAGTACTAGTTTGTCCTGTCATTCCGGACTCCAAATTTGGCAGCATCGATTAAAAAAGCAATGCTTGGTGGCAGGAGCTAACTGAATGCCCTTCCCCGTATCTTCTGTAGCAAAAAGCGATCGACAATATGTGCCTCATGTGGGATCCAATTGTCTGTGTCTTTTTCAGTGACATCGTCATCACAAACGACAGTCGGCTTCAGAGGAACACTTTGAGAACATCGAGGGTGGCTGAGTGAAGACCACTCAGGTACTAGTTTTTCTTCTATGAACAACGCGGAGAAAGTTTTCATCACCCCATGAGAATGGAGGTGTTTAAGCTCACCACCTGGACAGTTCCGTGATGGTAGACGTTACACCGTGCCAGTGTCTGTGGTCTGGTCAACTAGTGGGTCAGAGAGGGAGAGAGGTGGGAGGTGTGAAAGCAGTTGCTGCTGATGATGCTGATTATGCGTGGCCGAGTCCTCTGAAGTTGCCGCACTATCAGATCCATCATCCACTACGCTGGTGGTCCACTCACACGCCGTGTGAACAGTTTTCTCACAATTTGCAAACCAAATGGGTCGTTGAAGTGGAAGGGGGTGCATCACATGTTCGCGATTCCTCTCAAAGCCCGCCTCATTGGAAGAAAATATTACGTAAATTCGTGAGTTCATTAAATACACCCACCAGCCTATCCACTCTTCAAAGTTTGACTATACGAGGTTAAGCCAGAATCATCGTGAAACATGTCATACATTGGAAGACTATATTAAGTGGCCTTGGTGTCTCGGGTCGTTATTACGATTACTAAGCAGTTTTAAGAATTAATCTTTTCAACACCAGTCGACACCATACAAAGGTTTTGTACGGAAAACCCAGGTAGACTTGAACTAGTAAAAAGTATTTGGAATATTCTGGGCGCCGGATTAATTTGAAAAAAAACCCAAACTGAATTCCTACGGGGATGAGGTAGGTGTTCGGCACACTGAAAACAATTCGCATGAATAGAATGACATCAAGGTAAAAAATTTCTGGCTGTATTTGCGGACGCTCTTCCTATGAGTGCACCATGAAGTTGTCAGTTATATGAAGTTAAATCGCGCACATGTACTTCATGTGTTTGGAAAATTCGATGGAATTCTGCACCGCATGGCTAATCAACATGACTTCCAGAAGCCCCTTAATGTGTTTAAGCTGAGCTATAAGTACAGGATCCAAATTTGATTAGAACTTATTCGTAATTTCGTCAAGATTACTCCATAAAAGTTCCCTTCTATCCCAAGTTTCAGTCAGAGGGCCTGGCACTAAGGGGTCTTGGAGTCGTCAGTTCATTCTCCCGCCACGAACTGCTTACTTGGTAAGTGCGTTTTTACTGCGTTGAAGGCATCACAAAGGTGCACTTTCAGCTTTGGTTCCAAGACTAACGCGATGCTACTTCTCCTTAATTAAGCCCATTTGGCCAAAAATTTGGATTAAAGATTAAAGGAGAGCTCTTTTATCGACACAATTCTGATGGTCCAGACCTTAACACCAAAAAGGTATAAATTACAAGGCATTGGGCACCACAAGGTGCTGCAAAGTACTGCTGCTTTTTCAAGTTCTGCATAAAAATTCCTTTACCATAGACAGTGGCGGTCAACGTTACTCGCTCGTGGTTTCCCGGCGTAATACATGCAACAGACAATATGAAACACGTGACAAGCTTCCTTGCTAATGGACGGCCGTTAGAAGCAGACGGGAATATTTTATTTTCTCAAGCCACCAACCTGTGTACTTCGACAAAACGATACCGCAAAGCCAGAAGGGCCCACGAGAAGCGCTTCATGAATTTTAACTGATCGACAAGTGTATCTGTAAGCACTAATATGTCAAATGTGCAACATGGCTTTGGGATTAAATCGAACGCCAGCCTTTTACAACTTCCTCCCTCTGTCTAGGAACGACGACCAACTGTTTTGCCCCCGAAATCACAAATTCACGGACTTTCTGTCATCACTTCACTTTATATCAAGTATTTTGCCTGACATGGCAGTCTCTTAAAATCCCACACCAAATAAGTCCTTTCTTGCAGTTGGGCACGAGTTAGATTCTGGATTTTTTGACGCATTAGAGATGTGTGGGAGGAGAAAGTGATTGGACCACAGACGACTTGCAGTCGATCTGAGAATCCGTCAATTTGCTTATATAATGTACATTAACTTAGACGTTGGGCAGCGTTTACCATTTTATGATGATTTCAATGCAACTTGCAAATGCCGCAGACATTTGAGTCTAGATTAGGTTCAGAGAGGTAGAAGAAATTTTTAGATGTTTGGTTCTGTGTACCATTATGCCCCGTCTTTATGCTCCACTAAAGCATTAATTTAGACCCCTCACTTTCTTCATAAGATGGGTTTGTGGGAGGGATAATTTGAACACTGTATCGCCTACTCCTGTTCCTCGCAAAGTACCAGCCCAATTAGGCTAAAATTTACGTTCAGTACTACTTTTCGTGGTCGGCTGACAAAGCTGAATTGGTGATTTTGTGCTGGTTAGGGGTCAAATTAAAAATTTTAACGATCTTGCTTAGCACACATCTCTTGTAGGTAAAGAGGAGACATTAATTAATCTCCATCGGCGTGCTGTGAAATTTTTGACCTACTGAACTAATGAACAGGTAAAAAAATCAAATATTACACCACCTTTTCTTAAATTTGCCTACTTCAACATTGGCAACAGTGACTTCCTGGTTGACTGTTGCAGTGACAGTGTGACGGTTTTCTTGGCCATTTCAAGATTGATCTTCGTATCCCAGCTGAGGTCAGCTCCCACATAGGTTCCTGAGGCTTGCTGATGAAGGCCCGCAAGTCATAAACGCCACCGTGAGACTTGGACAATGAGACGTGGCAGGACTAGAAACTAGTTTGCCTGACAAATCCAGATTGATTTTCGAGTGGCGAAACAACTCCTACCTCTTTCACCTCCTTACTGCTCATTGCAATAAATAACCTATTTGCCTAGTCCCTCAAACCTCCAATACTTATTCGTGGTGGCATTTTGCGTTCAATTCTCCAGTCCCACACGTGCCCCGGTGATGCGGGATCTGTCGTCTCGCATGACAGCGCCTTTTCCCAGCCACTTCATACGAACTCGTGCGATTGTTTCTTTTGCAGATATGATCATTTTCACTACACAAAGGTTAGCTTATATTTGATGTAGCTTTGCAACAGGACAGGTCCTTGATGCTTCAACGCCTGACCTAATTAGTGAGAGATGACGGCAAGAGTATTCGGAATAAATCCCTGAGCAAATGCGCTAACATAATTATCAACAAAATTGGCCAAAATGCATGCGAGTTCAGCGGAACTAAACTTCAGATTTTTCGTAGTAACCCCAGTGATCCAAATTCAATTTCACGTCTCTCATGTCACGTAGCCCTGGAGTCGTGAAAGTGAAAATATGTCAACGCAAACACGACTCGATAAAGGTTCAAATGTGGTAGCAATTATGAGGACAAATTGAATATGACCATAATGTCTTGGGACGTAGAAATTCAGGATTTATGAAGGTGCCAGTAAAAATGTGAAACGTAACGAAATGTGAATCATGGAATAAGAGGATCTGTGACGCCGATGAATGCATTACTGGGGTCTCTTTTTAGAGAGACGAAATCAGATATAACACGGGCGTGCACAGAGCGTATGTCAACAAGGCCAAATTATGTGAGCTAATTCGATCTGCTGAAAGTTTGACCCCAATTCGTTGGCACTACCCTAAGAGAGCCATAAGAGTAAGCAACCGAATAGGTCTGCTCAGTTTTCCTAAAATTCTTTGGACACCTCATAATGACATTGTGATTATTCCAAAGACTTAAAATTTACCTAGGTTATGTTATTGCTCGACTGTTTACTAAGCCATGGAACTCTGCCCCAAATTTGCTTGATCACAGCGACATATGCCTAAGCCGCCCGAATCCATTTATTGGCAATCGAAGCTGAAAATCCACAATGTTTAAGACGACAGTAAATTAAGGTGGACACACCACAAACTCATCCTACACACGCGTCCACGAATCTACGCACTGATTGGTCGGTTTATTCACGTGTGGGCTTGCGCATGCCTGCCGCTCGCGTAACTGGTTCATTTCATAACCAATCAGCAATATCCACCCCGTTGGAGGTATTTAAGCGACATTAAAAGGATCGCGACGTCTGTGATTCAGTCGCACGTGTCGGGTCGTGTTCTGTCCTCTGGTTGCGATGCAATCGTTAAATGTCAAAAGACGTGGACCCAAATCTACCCTACCTCGAGAGCAACGTGAGGCTAACAGAAAAGTAAGTGTGTCATGGCCGCTGTCCTGTTTCTAACTCTAATTTGAGGTCAAATTAACTGAGTTATATTTCATTTTCAGATAAAGAAACAAAATATGGAACGACGGCGTCGGGCCTGTATTACAGAGAGAATGATTGTTCTCCACGATCTCGCAATGTCACTCATCGGAGAAAATGTAAGCTAAGCCCCTAACTAACGTTACTCCAAGTGATAAACTGGAACTATTATATCGTCTTTTCTAAACAGCCTCGTAAATTCGACCGCATGGAAAAGGCGGATATGCTGACAAACTGCATCGAAGTTCTGCGATGTGTGACCAAAATATTGCGCGAGAGACCCGATCTACAGCCACGCATGCAAACGGTCTGCACTAGAGTTTTAAGCAGTGCCAGTAACAGCCAACCTTCAATGGAAGAACGACATCCAGGTGTAGGGCCTCCGTCGGGGAATTCTGAGTCTGGATGGAACAAAGAGAACCTGTTCTGGGGTCCCTATCACTCCCCTGCCTTTACGCCAGTTGTGGGGGTCAGGGAACGAGGAGAAGTGACGCCAGCTTCTGACAGTGGTTTCCAGGAGGAGGCCTTCAGGATTCACACCCAGTACTTGCCTGTTCCCCAGGCCACTAGCTCCTTTCTTGATCTCATGATCGCCGAAGAACCTCACCAATTCCTCCCTCGCACCCCTCTTCAGAGAGTCATCTTGCCACCGCCTCCTACGAATGATGCCCCCATAGACCTAAGTCTCCACTCCGCACAAAAATCTCCTAAAGGCTGATGCCTAGCCGACACTTGTCCACACAAGCTTGTGATCAGATCTTTGCTATTTTACATTACTTGCCTATTAAAAATTTCTATTAAAATGTAGTGTTGTGGATGTACCGGGGAGGCTTTGCTGTGGGTCGCGGAGTTGCTGCACTGTGACAGTGGCACCTGCCACGCCGAATGGGCACTAAGAGTAATTTGAGTGACCTTCCTCTGGTTTAGGGTAGAGGAATTTCTTAAGCGTGTCGTTGTAGTTTGGCTGAAGAAGTAGCCTTGAAGAAACCCACATGTTTAGCTAATGGAGAATCAAAATATAAACATTAACTTATGGTACCGAGGTGCTTAGTAGAGATCATGAATTATTTAGCAGGAAAGGAAGGCGTTGGAGGTATGTTTCTCCTGTAGATCGTCCTAGGCAAAACGCAGCCCCTTACACGGTATTCACTTTGTACCCAGTAATTGAGGCCCATTTCGGCGTTACCCTGCGGTGCTTTTGTGGTAGATCCGTGAAAAGGAAAGTTCGTCTACATTGTTTTTTTGTTATTTGAACAAAATACCCTTAAATAAGAAAGTAATCTTCGTGAACACAGCGTCTTTTAAAGTAGGAATAAATTCGCGTGGCGGTCAAAAGCATATTAGTAGAAAATACTAAACTAACACCACTTTTGCTCCAACCTGATACATCCGCATTAAGTTTTGTGGCCTATGATTTTGAGAGCACAAGTATATTATCAGTTGCTGAGATTAGCTGACTTGGTGTAAACCGAAAACTACTACACTGACTAATGAGCTAAAGATAATTGCGAAATTAACACTTCTGTTATAGACATAGATCAATTAAGCGTGGTCCATTTAATCCGAGTCAAATGTGTGAAATTGATCCGTCGAGTTCAGGTGTCACGTGTCAGGTGTGAGCCATCCCCTGAAGGCCTCAGTTCTAACGCCATTTACGTAGAGCACAGTTCTGCTCAAAGGGGCGAGAGCATGCGCTTGAATTACAGGTTTGAACATTTGAAAGCTTTTGATCGCAGCCATGAGACCACCTACATTGATTGTTTGGTAATTAAGAACGAAAAAAGAATCATTCGTGCCAATGCGAATCTCACGCTGCATCAGACTCTGGTCGATTTCAAAATCTAAATGCAGTTACAGTTACCCGATATGCAGGTGTAACGTCTCGAGATTCTGGTTTGAACTGGTGCGATGGAGGTAGAGGTGTTATTGGACCAAAGGGACGCAATGCTTAGGAGGTTGGACGCAGTGAACTGCATCGAAATTAGTCAACCTGGCACCCTTTTTAATGAAAAATTGGGGTCTCCAAATAACATTGAGGGCCTGCGCTTTTGGGTGCTGCATTTGAGGGAGGATAGGGGACTATGCTTGGGTGTATGCGATTGAGGCAAATTTCAGTTGGCTAAAGCTGTCCATCAGCGGCTCGTTTTGGTGTTGTGTGTGAAGAGCACAGCTGTGGTGGGGTGGGGCTGGCGTGTTTTCACTGCCCCTCGTAAAAGGACGCCCAACCATAAAACAAACAAGCTAAACACCTAGCCTCGAGGTAGACTGAAAATAAACTCAAAGGAGGTTAACTTTCTACTGAGACCTCAACAATGGAGAGGTGACTTAATTATACTAATTTTCGCAGAGTCGCATGGTCGTTGTGTACGGTTGGCCACATTTGGTTCATGGGGGAACATTCAACGTCTGCCTCCATTTCAGGTGGGCGTTAGGAGGATGTTTAGGCTGTTTCCTCGTTAGGGCCTCAAAGGCAAATTGATTCTGGCTCGCTAGGGAAACATGCTTTAAAACACTAGAATTAGATGTACATGTTCATTTGGAGGATAATTACGACCAACCTGCTGTACTAATTGTTTGGCGTTGACAAATTACAGGAAAACACAATCCAAGGACCCGCGTCTTACATTCATGGACGTGAAACTGTCACATGTCCGAATTGTTGGAGTACAACCGACATCTCATTTTGGAGTACCTATTGCTGAGGCCAATAGTAACATCTACACCACCTGTGTAGGTAGATACCTGGAAAATTGATCCTACATGTGGTACGTCATAAACCAACTTTCACAAAGTGGGAATTCATCTCGGTATGTGTCCACATTGAAAAACTTGCACCGGCAACGCCCACAAGACAAATAATCTCAATCGATCAGCTCCAGGACCGAGGCGCTAAACCCAGATCAAGTTCGCTAAATGGTTTTATAGTAGTAGTACCGCACGAAATCTTGATCTTAACGGTTGCTTCGAACAGCACTATAATCACCTCCAACACCTATCCTTAAAACTAACGCAAATAAATCACACACAGGCGAAGTACACTTGGGGATAATTTTTGCCATTAATACACTTTCCCGGTGACTCGTAGCGGCACAGGTAGTTTTCGAATACCATGACAGAAATATCTCACAATATCTACTTATGGTGACTTATGCACACATCAACTGGTCACATTAGAGCATTGTTTGAGGTTAAATAATGAATTATCGAGGCAACTTTACATTATAATACTGAACGACGCGGTAACTTATATCACTAGTTCCGTGATGTTGGTTGTCACCAATTTCACTACCTGAGAATAACTTGAACGAAGTTTGAAACAAATGTTATGGAGCAGTCAGGAGTAATTTCGATGCTCATTTTCCAGGTTGAAAAAGCTTGTCCGAGACTAAACGACTTAATAAAAGTGCAATATTGTGCAAAAATGTTTCCTTGGACATATCTTGAAAAGCGCTGGCTCGATGCGTTCGTGGTCGTCAAGTTTTGATAAAAACCAGACCTCAGTTACCACTGGGACAACCGGCGTCTGTTGTGCCTCAGGGCGATTACCGGTAATTGTGAACACGTGTTGTTGCCAGCGTGCAGTTCAGCGCGAGGTGCTCGGTCGTGTTGGTTGCTGGGGTGATCAGGAGGTGCGGGGCCAATTATTGCCAATTTCGATTAGGCAACCCCTAATCTACACTGACATCGGGAAAATCAGGCACGCGAAACATGGAATTTGGGAATATAGCCTAACTGAGGTTGTTACAGCAGGACGTGGGTCAGTTCTGGATAGTTAACCGTGTAGCCTCGAGTCAGTACTGCCAGTAAGTTTAATTTATTCAACAAAGTCGTCATCTCGAATTTCGTGAACAGGAGACTACTCGTGAAAAGCTGCTGATGAACAATGCACAACTTACATTGGTTTTCGGTGAGAGTACACAAAAGCATGAATGCACATTCGTTTGGGATTATGACAAGGTGCAGGAGCAAAGGGAAGTCGCTATGGGCTTTTATTTAGCCTACCAGGATGTCGCTTTTAAACTACCTAGTACATATTTATTCTAAATAGGTGTGAGTAAATTTCTGATACGGCAAGCTGCGATAACGTCTTCAGTCTCGAATTCCTTCATTTGAAGTCAGGTAAATTCCTCCACCCAAGCTGGTCATTTGGTTGCTCAACAACATCAGTTCAATAAGGTCGATTTATGGAGGCACAGAATGCACTTTACAATCGACCGGATTGGACGCGTCAGGATGAGTATTTATGCGGTGGAAAATGAACTACACTAGGCCTGATGTCGGTGGCTAAAAAAGTTGATTTCGAAAAGTAACAACATGGCATTTTATATCCAGAACGAGATTAATGTGGTTACATCTTTGAAATGCCCAAAAAACGAGGTTTCCGGTGAAAGCAAATGATAAAGCTCAGATTTATTCATACAAAAGGACCCCCTCAAATTGGCATACTTTATTATAGTATTCTACATAGGTCCTAATTATGGATTATCATAAGAACTTGAGATTTCTAGCACTTCTGAAATTACTGATGGCCTACGTCGAGGATGTCTCTAATTGTAAGCGTGAAATTTTTGGGTGACATGGACAAGGTGTACGTCTGAGCATTTATCACATTCCACCGTACATTCAATGTCAGTTAATTATGACCGATGTTGAGTTGATAATTGATACATATAAAGAAATTTGGCACCTTTAACTTTTATCCAATCGGTAAAAATAATATTTGTACATCAAGCACCTACCACACCGAAATTCTAAGAACTGCATTAGCCGTTTACGCACATTTCATTTGCACGCATTGATAAATGCAGGCGAATGGAAAGACGAGCCAGAGCCACACGGCTGCGTTTGAGGAAGAAGAGTGAAGCACAAAGTCAATCCATGAATGTGGGCTATTGCCTACGAGGCCAACAGCTTGTGGGTGGCCCCATACTCAAAAAGGCATGTTTTCTGTCCTAGCCACAATGCAATCGGATCACTTATGCTGTAGAAATGCAGTATACTTCGAGTCGTATCCTAGTCCTCATGTCCCACTTTGGCTTCTTGATACTCAAGTAAGGTCTAGCGATATAAAATTCTACTCAGCTTATCAAGTGTGTAGAGTTTACCCGTCTAATGTGGTTGAAATTTGGATGTCCACCAAACCTCTTGTAGACAAGTCGTCAATATAATAATGAGTACCTCTAGTATCACTTTTTACTAAAAAAATATCAAATTGCTCCAATCGAAGGCAAACGGGCAATCAAATCGAGAATGTTGAGGATATATTGCTGCAATAGCCTTCGCAGGATTTTAAATCGAAGATGGAAAACCAGTCAAAAATTCGTCAATAAAATGTATGAAGGAAATAACAGATCACATATCAGAAATCATATTCCAATTCATATGCAATACCTGAAAGGAAATTGTTTGTCTTTTTTTTATTTTTGGGATACCTGTCTGGCACAGAAGTTCAAGTGTAAGTTTCCGATTCGTGGTGAGATTTGAGAATTCGAATCCTCTTTGTTTTAATGGATGCTGGGAAGTGACGCTTTGTAAACACATCCAACTTTTGTATCGGTGGCTCCATCAAGATTGGTTTAGTGGTAGCTGGCGTGATACCAGTAGCAAACAGTCCCGTCGGGGTGATGGCGTGTGTGTGTGTGCTGAAGTGCATGTTTCAACACGTCAAGAAGAAGGGCGCCGCAAGCACTGGGAGGGCAAGGCGGATAGCCAGGCGACAACCGCGTACCTGCATGCCGCATCGCCTCTTCTCGCACGTCGTCAACACCGCCGAGCCTCACTCGCTTTTTGAATAGCCCCTTCAACAGTCGGTGCGTGTGTGTGTGAGCATGAGGCCATCACCCTGGGCTTTTCGCTTCCCCAGAAGCCTGGCAACAGGCCACTTGGCAAGGTGATGCGGGCCCCCCACTGAAAACCGCACCCGGCCTTACCACCAGTACGCCAATTATGCTACTGACTCCTTGTGCTCGCCTAATGAAGTTCGTCACTTCCACAGAGATGCAGAGTGGAAAAAGTTGATCCTCGGTGAGCCAGCGGAAGTGGGCAGACGAGCTTCTGCACTTCGAATAATTATTTGACGAGAAGTCCGCACTTCGGATTCTTCGAGAAGTCTGGCGGGGCAAGATAAAATTTTGCCAGGGCTAAAAGTCAAGTGCTAGTTGGATTAATTGGCATTTACCTCCGACAAGAAGATACATCGCCATTAAATGTTGCATGTTCATGGAGGTCCAAACAGTGGGAGTCATAAACCACTAATTTAATCCCTTATAGTGTTCCTGTAGTCGGCGGGCCACATGTGTGGCTTGAAGGTGCTTTTAATTCTGCATCCCTGTTTTGTTATTTGTGGTGGTGGTGGCGGCTGCGGTGACAATAGTTTATTGTCTAGCTCGTGGCCGAAAGGCGAGGACATGCGCCTCTCCCATCCCCCTCTCTAAAGAGGCTTCTCCATCATATAAACAGTAGGAGGAGGAGGAGGAGGGAGTCGGTGCTGAAGTGTCCACTCGATTTGGTCTTTTTGCGCACATGATAAGTATAAAAAATGGCCACCGAAGCGGCAGCTGTGGGGGGTGGGAGGGAGCGATGATTCCCTCCCAAGTGTCATCCTGTCTTACGTTTATACCACTGATGACACACGTTGGAGAATAATGGCCGTCAAGCTTGCGTACGTTCTGTCGACCGTATCACGTCTTTTTCAAGTGAAACGCGGTAAAAATATCACACCGGTTGATAAGCTTTTGAAAGTGGTATAAGGGTATCAAGCTTGCCGTCCAAAATGGCGACGATTACTGGTCCAGGATCTCACGTCAAAAAGACTTCGTTTGCTGATCTGAAACTTAAAGCGTTGGGTCACCGGAGTCACGATCTCACCAGTAAGTCATACTCGTCACAGCACTTCGCCCGAATTCTGCAGTGTGATAGTAAATTTTTGCCACTTATTTCGTTAATATCTGGCTGTGGTCAGCAAAACAAAGCAAGCGCTCTAACTGACGCAATTCACGAAATGTCAGGTCCAACCTGGGCCACTTAATTAAAAACCCCTCTTCCAGCATGGATATTTGAAAGGACAAGCGAAGACTCCCGGTTCACCCGCGAACTTATTGATTACACGCAGCAGCGAACCGGCTTGCGAGTGGGCGGGGCACAGAGTGCACTTGTGGATTTTAGCACGAGCAAAAGTGCATGATTCAGACAGACATGGAGGTGGTCGACTGGGCGTTTGGACTAATGCACTCAAGTCCGGACTGCTAAGGCCGGCTTGGTTGGATCAATAATCAGGCCCTTTGGTGCCGCGCCCAAGTAAGCTGTTATACCAGTCAGAGGGTAGCATGACGCGTAAATCTAATAAAACCACACGGTCTCTACTTTAGCTTACCGAAGTAGCGATTTAGTTTGGTCTAGAAAAAAAAATCGTTCATTTCGCTTAGTGGTGTGTTCTTTTAGACCACGAACTTATGATTGATGGGTTCCGTTTTATTATCCCTGATTAACTGTGAAGAAACACAATGGGCCTCGATTTGCCAATGCGTTTGAAAAGCCAAGTTGCAACGTGGTGTTGGGTCGACATTTCTGTCCCAAACTGAATCATTGGCTTAACTTAAATAATTCAATTTTTTTCAGTTTAACCAATTTAAATGGAGTGATTTGATCAAATCAAGAATTAAATCCAACCGATTTAGGATAAAGGCTCGTTAGCACATGAAAATGTCAAAATATCCGGCACCATCCGCTGTAAAAAGTGCATAGGAATCGCCGAACTTCGTCTAGGTATTTTGAAGAGCTTTCAAGAAATAGGTTAGGAGTGGCTTCGGCGGTTTCAACAGATTGTAAAGTGAAGATTACGACACAGTGGTTTTTAAGTGGAATCAGGCCATATTAGCTGAGAACTCTTCCACAAACACAGGAAACTTAACTGCAGTAAGCTTTACGGTGGTTTTACAAAGCCGTGGAATTCGGACAAAGTTAAATTCACTGCTGCTACATGTGCAACGCTTTTATTACTACTTTTACTTTGTGAGAATGTACAATGTTTGGCCATGCCTAGTTAATGCCTACGCTCTACTGCCTTTGCTAAAGCTGAAATTTATCACCTCCAGAATTCAGTCTCCCGAAGAACGGGAGGACAGTGGGTGGCAGTGAAATCGCCAATGCCCTAAACGTGGGCGAGGGCAAATGCGGCTGGCTTGATCATCCCGTCATGATATCTTCACAAATTTTCAAAACACGCCCCGAAAGCACTCTGACAGGTACTGGTTTTTTTGGGACAGGTGATTAAATAGGTCTGAGGTCGCCGGGCGCTGGAGGGAAGACGCGACAGGAGTCCACAGATAGTGGCTGCGGCGGCGGCGGCGGCAACAGGGACAGGTGCTGTTGCGAGTTACACACCATTGCATCGACGTGACCCGGCAAGTAGAAATTCGGGTGAAAACGAATGCCGCAGCAACTACACCGAAACTCCGAGTTGCAATGTCGAAGCTGGTCAGGCTCTGTGATAAGAGGCTTGACGACAGGTCCATCGGTGAATGTGATTCAAAAAAGTAGAGCTTAGAGCCAAATTGTCCTACTTCGCAAATTTACCATTATTTTCCTCAATGTAATGTATTGTGGGTTCAAGTCCTGACTGGGGCAGACTGCGGAGCCTCCATCACGTCCTGAATGCTAGGTCTTCTACGAGGGAATTTCACACGAACGTCCCTTCTTTTCTAGTATTAAGGGTGTATGTAGTGGGAGTTGTTATGTGCTATAAGGCTTGAAAAAAAAGAAACACGAATTCATCTGTCATCTGGGCACTGTGAATGCAAAGATGTTCAAAGTCTTGTCTGGATGATGGGTATCTGTTCCTGTAGTGATGGTTCAAGCATTCGAAACCCGCCGAAGAATAAAAATGATTACCCTATTCAGTTGGCGATAAAGTTAATTAGCTCATCAAATGGTAGACCCGTATTACACATCTGGTGACACTGTAATGTCTGTATCAAAAATTTCGGTGGCATTTCCGACGGATGTAAATTAACTGGTGACCATTCAATGCAGTGAAGAACGCCGCGAGGTGTGACGTCATGTTGGTAGGCCACTCCCCGTTTCCTCGTTCACCACTAACACTGGCATCGTCCGTTGTAACTGTCATGATGAGGTGGCTAAAACTGGTCGCCTGGGGGTCACGGCGACTGAACAGGCAGCACAACCCGCCATCGCCTCGACCTCACCTCTTCCGATCCCATTGAGTCCCGAAACCAAGCCAGAACCACTCCGCACGACTAGAGGTGGTCGATGTGTCGGTTTTCTGGAACACTTCGTGTCTATGCTGTAGTTCTAAGATGTCCCATTTATTTCTGTACATTTTCCCTTATCCGGTATCAATTACTTATTCCACCACAGTATTTTTACGACAGGAAACACTATGGCGTCAGGGATCTTGCGTTTAGCACTTAGAAGTAAACGTGTTTATTTTAATTCAGCTTGAGGTTTAGGACTAAGACATGAAACATGTGGTCTGCAATGTGACGTGGGTTGGATCTGTATGGTGTTAGGTGATACATGGATTCATACATGAGGGAATCACTTGCAAGGGATGTCAGCGAAGTCGTCCTTAAGTTAACAACAAGTTGGAGGTACTTGTTTTCCCCAATTTTGCTGCTGTTTTCGCGTCATCATCTTCAACCCGGAATTTTTTTTAAAATTCGACTTAGTCACTTAACTTACTGATGCTGATTAAAAGTTGCCATGGGCCACGTGAGTGCTTCCACCCGTTTGGCGTTTCCATTCTGCGCTGTGCTTAATTGCGGCCAACGTAGTAAGGCTTTTGCCGTGGCCACTGATTGCACAAACCCGCATGAACTGGATGGCGCACGCCTGCCCTCCACATGCGGTCAACCCAGACCGCATGCGCCCGGGAGAAGCCCACGTGGGCTGCACTCACGCCTGTGGGCGCAGCTAGAAGTACAACCCGCGCACAACAGTGCAAAGCGGTCGGTGAGTCGCACGACGGCGATTAAAGTACGTGAGTCGAAGCGGAAGGGGACGATTCACAACGCTTCACGAATAATCGCCATGCTGTTAAGCGACTTTATCACCAATTTTTGTCGAGTGGCTGGACAGCTCCTCAAGTAAAGGGGTCTAGTGAAGAACATGATTCGACAATTTTATTATCCATCTTTTCTTGGAGCTCCATAACGCACCATCGCATAAGTATGTAAGGCCTAAATGCACGTGCTAACTACAACGCCAACAGGAAACAAACATCCATTATGTTTGCCCTGAAAAGGAAAGCCCAACAAAATTCCAGTTAGTCTTAGCAGCCCAGAGCTGGAACTCAGGCAATAGCTCTGCAACGAACAACGCACTAGCATTCCCCCTTTAGGCTCAATGCGTTGTGCGAGTTTCGGTCTCTGACGGGAAATTTTAGAACGTGCTAAAAACTTCGACATCAGAGTAAATCAACAAAGGGATGGACATTAACGTACGCTTGAGGCATCTACGGTACAACCTCATGCCCTAATTACAAGTTTTGGCTACTAACGACGTCTTAGATCAACGCAAGAGAATATTGAGAACCTCAAGGGGCTTATTCTTTTTTATAAATTTAAAGCACAGAGAAGTCAGTAGCTCGTTAGCTGGTGGAAAAGGCTCAAACGATTGTCATTTGCAAACGACAATTATATTAGGAAAAGGTGATCCATGATTACTAGAAAAAACTCCCATGTAAAGGTCGAAATGAACGCTATCGAGTCCTCGTGGGGTACAGGTAGGCCACTTGACGGACTAACGGTCTTCGCTGGGCGGACCTCGTCACGCTTGAGCAGCTCAGATGAGATTCGCTTTCCCCACGCGACTGAAAACGAAAGGCCGCGTGATTAGTTCAGGCTCACAAGAGCAAGACAACGCGGATGTACTTTCGGTGAATCGCCCACGCCGTGAGTGGGCGTCACCACCTCCGCGCGAATGCAGCCGTGCATCGGTGGTTTGGTGGTGGTGGTGGTGAGTGGCGTTCGAATTAACGGACACCCATCGCCTGACGAGTGCTCTGTACTTTTAGCTGCTGAGACCACTGCATGCGGGCCAGAGGTGGTCAGTGCCAGGGGAGCTCGACGTGTTTTGGCACGCACTCCACCGCAAGTGGGGGCTCTGCAGGTCCGGCCAAAATAGCCAAACAGCTTAATTTGCAAACTGGCAAGACCGTCAGCGTTGGAGATCATTACAACAGTAACCAACATGTGTTAGGGGAAATCGCGTGGGTGGCAAATGTACCGGGGTAGGTGCATAAGTCCAGGAAAAACTCTTGACTTCAGGCAAAGTGGTAATGGTAATGAAATGACGGTGACTGCTCAGCAGAGCATAAGTAACATTGAAATTGGCATTGGTCTAGGAAGCGACAACGTGAGTTTGACCTCACATTAAGGGCATTGTACCGGTCATGAAGTAATTTTCACATCTTTAAAGATTTTATTGTCGGAATGCTTTGAGTATTTTAGCTTCTAAAGGTTGAGGATGGAAGCAAAACTAATTTCTCGTGAGGTGTCGGCATACTAGCTCATAACCAAAACAACGTCCTCCGACTGTCATGAAATAATCAACTACCAAAATGTAGATAGTAGTATATCAACAACAACTCAATTATGAAATTTATTGACGGAATTTTTTTCTAAATGTTGACATGGCAGAAATTTCCTATTGGAGCAGACGACCAAAGAATACTGAGCTGAGAAATCAGTAATTCTTCAATATTTTTGTTGCTTTATGCATAATTGCCAAATTTATAGCTAAGTGTATTTTGTTTGTGGCCGTGGCTACTTTTCTTATTTATATCGATTACCCACATCTTATTGGCTAATCATGCCCTTTGAATGTGGTGTTTGTCATGAGCGTTGCCAAGGTCACCCAAGGTATGTGAATGAAACAGAAAAACCACCGTTCTCTATCTAACAAACGTAGCACTTGGCAACGAGGTAAGCTACAGGATGATAGGAAACTGAAACATTCTTGGAGGTGGTGGTAACAATAGCGCATAGCCAACACCTTCGTGTCAACCGTCTCAAACCGGTCGCCGTCGGCCGATGGTAGTGTAAACAGCCTCGAAAAATATCGGTTGCAAGCCTTTCAACCAAAAACGGTTGTAGTATATTCCATTTAGCACCTATGATACGGTGCGCCTGCATAAGAACACCTTCTTGAAAAGCCGAAGCCAAAGTGCATTGTAAAGCAAACTGCAAGTGCAGAGCGAAACGAACAACTTGGCCCTCGACTAAGGTGGACTTGAATGGTCACCAAAGTTGACCGATCCGGCCCTTCTTGTTTCACAACACAATAGCACAAACGGCTCCACTTTGTTCAACACGTCGAGCCGCACAATTCAGTCGAATAATGAGCCAGATACAAGAAGAAACCAATTAAGGCGTGAGAAGGGGAGTTTTTCATTTTCCACGCCAGTGAGATGGCTAGGTCTTTGCGCTGCTCCCTCAATCCGGTCAGCCGTGCAGGTACCTGAGTCGTAATGGGGCTGTGTCTTCAAACTAAACAAACTGAAATTCACAACTTAATAAAGCGTTTGGGCATAAACACTCAGTCACCCAGACGAACAACCCCACAATAGGCCAACCCAAATGAACTATGTCCTTTTTTCGCACTGATTACTCTTGATGAAACAACCAGTGTTACCATCTATATCGGTCCTCATGCCACATAGAAACAAGGCCTTTTAGAATTAGTCTGCTGATAAATTTCACCACAAGTGAAGCCATTGAAGTGATCACCGGTGGTGAAAGAAACTGAAATCACAGAACGAATCGGAACAATAGCATGGCTGCTGTGGTGCGGACATCAGGTTTGCGAACGAATGTCTTATGGGGACGAAGCCATTCGAGGTAAAGCACTGGGCTGAAAATTTTAATGAGAACGGGTGTGACGGGAATGGAAGAAACACAAGAAGGAGGCCCAAATTCATGCCACCAGTCAAAGGCTAGTAGACATTCCAGCCAGCAACTGTTCTCAGAGTTCCTTTAGATTCAAGCGAACCCAGTCGAGTATCTGCCGGGACGTTAACTACCGCTACCTTTAAGATGGCTCTGAGTGTCCCTCCTCGAATCTGGTATCTTTACTGCATAAATTCTCGATCAAACACCAAGTACCCACCACTTTAGCAGACCCAATGAACGGATACGACCAATACCTCTCCTTCTTCATACCATCACCGCTCTTTTAATACCAAGGGAAATTGTGAAACAGTAGAGCTGAACCTTGGCATTTAAACGGATCCGAAACTTACACGTACTCACCCTTAGACTATCTTGCATTAATTTAATGAGCCTAGAACGTAGGTAGCCGAAGAAACCACTTGATCTCTGAGGGACCGCCCTACCTACAATAACACAAACTGATTTGTTAGAAAAATTCTTCCCCCAGCATTGGAAAAGTTCAACCGACTTGAGAATCACGAACTAAGCTTGAGATGGGGATTCAACCTGAGATAAGGTTAAAATAAATAGACACTTTTGCAATAAGGGGTCATGCCACCATCACAGTGGCCTGTTGATGAGCATTAATTGGCAATGTTGCAATTTCTGGGGTGATGCTAGGCATCTAAAAGCACAATCTGCTTTTTATAAATGACTAGGTATTAGGTAATGCTCAAGAAATTTATTATCATAACCGGGAGCGTAGCATAGGGTTCACTAGAAATACCGGTTTTTTTGATTCCACATGGCGTAGGATAATTAATAGTTAAATTTAAAATACGACGTTTCACAAGATGTTTAACGTATTTATTACTATGGCGAAAAAATACATGATTATTTTCCCGCCGCTAGCATGAAAAATGCGAAAGTAAGTAGTACTTTTATTGGGTTCAAAGCGGTAGTTTCCAACAAATGCGGGCGGATGATGAGAGGACAACGACTACTTTTTAAAACCCTCTCTACTGGGCAAGATTCAATAGAATGAAATGCAAGGACGTGATTAGGTTATTCCGTAACCCGCTGAGCGTGTGTGATGAGAGCGCTTTCGTGTGGAAGGGGCGGAAAGCGTTTTGGCTAACCTCTGAGCAATAAATGAGAGAATCAGAGCATCGCGTCTAGATTTTATGCGAGGTAGATAGCTTGATAATATATAAGAACTTCGAAAGTAAGGCAAAACTCGAGCTTACTTAACAGGATAGGAGGCAAAAACACGTTACAGAAATGTATTTACAAAAAATACAAACAACATCGACGAAAACTTGCTAACGTAGTTCAGTGCTATCTTGCTCACTGGGAGGTTTAAGTTCCGTAATATTTGGACGCTTGGTGGGTTGAGGAAGCTTCAGCTGCTGCAAATCTTCATCGCTAGTTGCATCATCAGTGTCAGAGGTGTTTGACGATGAGGCACTGATGTCTTCTGATGAGTCGTCAATAGGCAGAAGTAAACTTGAGTTGCTCATTTCATCCTCCTTTGGAATGAACAACGTCTTAAATAGAAATTGAAGAATTGTTGAGATGCTTCGAGTTCACAAAAAATACACGAGTAATCTTTCAAAACACGGAGGTCGGCAACATAACGGTCGAAAATATCCCCGCGTACTGATTAATACAACGTATATTCGAAAAGTACGGAAATAGATGCTAAGAGGAAATTACTGATACACAACACCATTCTACTTGGATTCTGAGATAATAAAAACAAGAAAAAGCGAGAAGAACTGGAGTATGCTAACACAATGACCTACCAGTTCAATTTGATTTTCGTCATCGGCCGGGGACTCAAAGTTGGTAGGTGGATTAGAGGTCTCTGCTGTTTGCAAAAAGAGGCGCACTTTGTTAAGAACTAAAAACTCAAGCCAGCATAATCCAGTGCATACGTGAGCGTGTGTTTTCGGGATCAGGATTCGGTTCTTGTTGGATGACTTTCAGGTCCTTCACCTTCATCATAAGGCTATGGGCTAAAACCTCAAAAAATGCGCGTGAATCACCTGACACCTTGAACGCTCAGATCAGCTCAACAAATGTTAACTCTCTTTAAACTACACCTGTTAACTAAAAAACTGCAATACTTTTATAATTGATACATCGGGCTAAAAAATTTACAAGGTAAATCTTTCGATTCTGACCTCATATTTAACCTCCTATGTCTGACCTATCATGGTGGGACACAATTCCAACCCAATTTCTCACTCTCGTGATGTCGGTTGTCGGAGAGGCCTCCACTGAATCGTCCCTTCCACACTCTCCAGTGGAGTCACGTAGAGATAATGACTCGAGTAAGTATCCGTTATGCGCTTTTAAAGTTTTTTTCTTATAAGTCAGATCTAAGTATGACGTCTGTCTGATTTGTAGTGGATGCTGGATTATTTGACCCAATTTTATGACTGATTTTGCCTATTTAGTACCGATTTATATGCGTCTTTAAGAATCAAAAATTTTTGTTTTTAGATTCTAACTCAAGTCAATTCTCCCATATTGATCAGTGTTTTTCATGCACCTCCTTGTACTTTAAATAAATTGATATGAATTCATGAAATTTACATTCGAGAGGTTTTCAAATAAACAAAATTGTCGTTTATCCTCTTGAACATATAGAGTTTCGTACACCGCGACTTTGACAATTTAGAAACCCCCTTCTCGATCTATCTTTTCTATGCATTTTTGTCCCTATCCCTATTGGCTTTAGTCACTAGGTTATGAAATAACAATTTATTAATTAGTTGTCTCTAGGTTCAAGTAGTTGCTTTTCTTAAGTATATATATCGTCCCAATCTCCTGCTCCACTGACATTCGATTTCCATAATACACCAGTAATCTGTTTCTCAAGTACTTTTATGACAATGGGAATGAAACAGTAACAGTATCTTGGCAAAAATGGCTCTTTTCCATTCTAAATTGTCAGACCGTGGAAAGTAGGTGGCATCAGAAGTTGTGAAAACGTTGTCAGAAAGTTCCGTTTTATCTTAAAAACCGACTCGTGTTCTTATATTTGAACCCCCACTTTTTGCTCAAAATAAGAATCGCGTGTAAACATCAGCCCGAAAATAATTCAATCCCGCTTTTTTGTTCTTATTTGTATTGTACCATCAAACTAAATCACTTTGGTTACGCTATAGATATCTTAATATATTTTAACTGTAAAATTTACCTGCAAGGGGACTAGTTTTGGGACAAGCAGAATACAGACGTACAAATGAACCGTCTCTCCGAATATCAGTAGATGTGTGATCGGTTAAAAATACAAAATGAAGCTACATTGTTTTTTTTCAAGACTGGAGCTAACTTCCGTGAATCGACGCCAGTGGTGATGAAAATAGGATCGTTGAGTATATAATATTTGATGACCCGATATGAATAAAATCTTTCCATGTTCTAGTTGAAAAAGTCAGGTACAAATTCAGTCGTTAGTGATTTTTGGGGTCATGCAGTGTTCAAATGTTTTATGAATGCGGTGTTCAGAGTACCGCTGATTTAATCTTGAATAGTTCAAAACCAACGTTAAAAAGGCGAAAATACCTCCTCCCTACTTAATTAACGTTTTCTCATATATTTGCTATGTGAGTTAAATTCACTGAAGGCAATGAGATTTGTTGCAGTAAACTTTTTTTGCCACAGTAAACGTTCCCGTAAAAAACCAGAAAGGCTTTTTGAACAATGGCTCCCTGGATTTGCCCGCAAAGATAGAGAATTTTAAGTCATGGAGCACTACGGCCATGAAGTGCACAAAACAAGTCATCGAGGAGAAACTGGGGACCACATCACCTACTCGTGATCCTCACATCGAGGCCAATATCGAGGAGATCAAGTAAGACCCCCATCTTCCCTTATCATTTTCCAACTTCTTCAACTTCGTATTGCTTTTTTCTTTGCCGTGTTTGGCCATTTTTTAGGCTAATGCACCGTTGGGGGTGGGGTCTTTCGAGTTAACTAAAGAGGTTCTATTGTTGGCTTGAAACTTGAAGAAGAATCTTAAGTAGGCTTTTTCGACCTTAGTAGTTGTTTTGGGGCTCCACGCAATTCTAATCTGCATTGCTCATAGACTGCTTCTCGATGCAGTGTCATCACCCATATCTAACATCGAAACCTGTGGGCATGTTGTTTATAGGTCATCTGCTGATTACGGAGTCTCCGTCTGTCAACACACATCTTCTATTTCGATATTGAGATTGTGATATTTTAAAGATTAGGCACTAGCTGTGGTAAAGGGACAGCCGGGCCAACTTTTTCTACAATTCGCTTTTGGTATTCGTGCAATTCTTCAGGTTCGAGAAATACAGCTGCACCCTGCCAAAATGTGACGTGTAGCTATTAATAACGCCACAGTTTGTGTGCACTTTCGCGTGCATTTTGCTTCATTAAGTAGATTTTCTGTTTAAGTGGGTTCTCATAACCACAACCATAGTTTGAGTGCTCACTCCTACACATTTTTGGAAGTTACATTATATGCTGATCCCGTTTTTTTACAGTTGGTGTTACGATTGTATGTCACTACTCGGTTGCAGTATGTTTTGTACATTTGAATAATCTGCGTGTGTGTAGATGGTATCTACTTCCACAGGTTTGGGTTTCCATTCGGGTCTTTAAAGGCCTGCTTTCAATCCTTGTCAGTTTAAGTGTCTGTCCGCACTGTCGTTGTTTAAACTCAATTTTTGTGACAAATTTGCAGTGAGCCCCTACCGTACTCACTGTTACCACTAACGCCTTGGTATTGGTCATTCGTTACCTAGGCAACATTTGACATTACCAGGTAGGTGGAGACAATTTTGCTGACGATAAGTCGTTGACTGACTGCAAAAGTAGTGAAATGTGTTTCAGAGAATGTTATCATTGGTTGCTTTCTTTCCCTTATCCATAGGCCAATCCTAAAAATTTAAGACTCCAATGAAATTACAATGTGGGGCTTAATTCCTAAGGCCATTGCTCCGATTCTCTCCTATTACTCGTCTCACGATAACTATAAGTTATATCTACTAGAAATGGGCCAATTTTTTCCCTCCTGCCAACTTTACACTACCTTTATTCTCCTGTGCTATAGTAAAACAGGCAGTCTTATTTAGCTAGGGCTAAATTCACCAAAGTGTCTGCTTTTGCAATGCTGTTGTAAGACATGTCGAAAAGTGACCTGAAGGCAAATATCCTGCTTGCCGTAGTAATTGGCCATCCAAGACAGTTTGTGACAGTTCTATGTGTTTATGCCTTAGTTAAAAAACGTCAGACAGAATAGTTCATTGGCCATGTATACTTTCGGAGCAAGTTGTCCAGGAAGAAGGCCTCACATTTCAATAATTGAGCGAGTATCCGAACTTGAGTTGAGTAGTGGTGCTCCATGGATACTTTTTAACAAGTTTGATGGGCTTCCATCACGAACTAGAAAATCCAAGCGCCATTTAATGATCAACCTACGTCCGGGTTGTGACTGAGCTTCGGAAAGCTTTCAACTTTTCGGCGCGAAAACAGGCGCGTTGCACTCGGTTCACAGGGCTGTTGATGTGGTTGCAGCGGAATCAGTCCCGGAGTGAAGAAGTAGCTATGACGGGAACACGTTGCTCTGAAATTAAAACAAGAAAAGGATGCATTTTTAGTCAAACGAAAATCATGCCTCTGGGTGAGCAACCGGCAAGGCTCCGTCAGCCTTGGTTACCCTGCCACAATCTTGATAAGTTATTTCTTAAAAATTCATTTGAACCGCCCAGTTTCTTTTTATAACACCCATGTACCTTAGGTCGCATTTATGTGCTAGCTTCCTTTCGGTCCTGGTTTCACTCAGTATTACGGTTGTGTTGTCACCTAAAACTTTATCCTTCCTAGTAGTAGGCGAAGTGTGTCCTTTTCTTGGGCCTTTTTTCTGAATCATTCAAATGGTGCTTGGCACCAATGCGCATGCTGCTTCCAAAAAATGCTAATAGCACACAGCTTCTTTGCAACTTCTCTATTGCTCGTTTTGTCCACGTCTTGACACATTCCGTTGTTAGTCATAGTCAGGAGGATCTTCTAGCTGAACAATGAATCCAAGTTAAATAACGAGTGTTCGGTGTGTGTGTGTGTGCTCGATTAAATTGATCCCGAAGGTCAGTACAGACCTGAGCTAATAGTTGGCGCACTTTATTTGGCACGTCCAAGGCTTCCCAGAATAAGAGAATACTAAAGCTTTTGGGAAAGGTTTTATTGTATGGACCAAATGGTCGAGTACAGGATAGGGCCAGAGCGGAAATCGAGGCTGAGGTTTAGCAAATGCTCCGATGTGCCTACTTGTGCATGTCTCATCGACCGGAGATCGATGAGCTTAGGAAATAGCACTAAGCGACGACTTGTTGTAGTGAACAAACGATCGAAGTAACAGCGAACGGAGCTTAAGCGAATAGACGCCATAACTCATCGTGTTAATATCCTTGCTTACATCCCCAACAGGAATTCGCTATTGCGATGGGTTTTACTACGCAAATGAAGCAAGTGGCACGTCAGCATGTATGGTAGAGGCTCATTACCTACACGACGTAAATTAAAAAAAAGTTTTCCTAGTTTCCACTATGAGGGAAATTGTGATGAAATCCAAATAGTGAAGAAACTTGCATCATTGTTTCAAAACATGTCGGCGATAATGTTATATTATCATCTCTTTAGTTAAGCGAGGAGGGTAATGCGTCGGACCTTTAATTTCTTTGACATATTAACGGGACGAAGACGATGTTGCCCGTTGTAACTGCATTTACCCATGGTGAGTCGCGTGTGATGAGGTTATGCGTCACGTCGGATACAAGTCGGAAGCAGAATTGCTCGGGCACCGAGCCCAGCAGAGCGATGAAGGGGACTCGGGGCAGGAAGTGCCGAAGATTCTGTCGCCCAATTCGCTACTAATGTCTCTCCAGCAGTAGTGAAAATCTAATAACTGTGCATTATTTGGGCGAAATACATGCAGAAGTGGACACTTCTAGCCAAAAACGAGTGTGTTTTTGTGTGTTGCAATGGTTCTCAAGTCAGTGGGCGTTGCCCAGGGAACCGCCTTTGGCACAGTTTGGTATAAACAGCGAAGTCTTTGTTTCCGGTGGCCGTTTTGACTGATCGAGCCTCCTGCCTTCTCAATTTTAGGAAGATGCAGACCCAATACCAGGAGATAAGTAATTCAGTGAAGAAAATCGCCTCCCACCTGAGCGCATTTTCTTTACTGGAGCAGGGACTCTCGTCGCAACTAACCATTGCCGGGCAGTCCCAGCCCGAATTGTTCCAGGAATTCGCTCGCAACGCCGACAGCCAACGCATTGCCGCCAAATCCTCCAGTGGTTATGTCGGTGTGGATCTGAGTTTGATGAGATGATTATGTTCCTTAACTACGTGGTTTGAACCGAACACCTATTTACGGCTTCATTTACGCACAATTTGTGTATTTGTATTGATTCGAGTCTTGTGGTCTTGCATCATTTGGTATGTAAAAACTGCGCTTAGAAGGGATAAAGACATGTTTATTTATTGCCGAGTATCTTTTTGCACAAAAATGCCTTGATTTAGTTTTCCTTCCCTGTAAAATTGCGGCCTTATGCTTCTCTATGTTCTGGACTATTTGTACTAACTTTACTTTGGTTTAGACACGAATGCAAGCAAGATACTGCTATTCTGTTCTCGCATGCAACACCGTCGATGACTGTTGCAGCTTGTCACGCCTCTTGGTTAATGCCTCTAATCATGAAATTTGGCACCCATTCGTCTGGGACATGAACTTCGATCGTCACGTACGACTTGCAAGTAGGACGTGACTTGGGTACCACTTCGTTTCGAAGCTGTAGATTCTACCTCAAAGGTCTAGTCCACCCTACGGGGATTTAGGCGCGTGACACAACTTTATGTCTCTTGCAGTGCCTACTGATGTGCTCACTGAACAAGCAGATAAGTAGCTCTCTGCCATGTAAAGTGGCCACTATGGATTAATGCAACTGACTGTGCCCGCATTTACTTCCCCAACAGAATATTTGTGAAAGAAACGCTGACCCTCTAATGGTTTTGGTCACATTTAGCCGCACTGGAGTCATTCTACGGTGGGTTGGACACTTTCTGCAAGAAAACGGTACCCGACACCCTGGATACGATACGTCAGCTTGAGCACTCACGTCTTATTTATGACGCCTACAGAATTGAACTTGAACGTATGGGAAACAAAGGGGTCAAGGCAGCTCAAATGCCGTCCACAGGATCGTCAGATGCACCAACTGCGACCACTGCAGACGAAGCGCCAACATTGCAGCAGGATTTAAATGCCCAGCAACTCCGTCAAAAGTTTGAGACCAGCCGCGAAAACTACCTCAAAATGAAGTCAGATGCTGATGTAAAGATGAAATTACTTCACGAGAACAGGGTAAGCTGTTGTCTCGTAATTCCTCTCTATTACTTTGCTTTAATTATGTAATTGCCATCTCGGCCTTTTGCTTAAGACTTTTGCGAACCGTCAGTCCTTCTTCTTCAGGTTCGTGTATTACGGAACCACTTGCAGATGCTGCAAGCGGCGACTTTCTCATACTACTCGAACGGGTTCCGCAACTTGGAGTCATTGTTAAGTTCCCTCGGAGAGCACAACACATCGCCTTCCAAGTGTATTGATCCCTCGTCCTCTATTGTATCCGGCGGTGTCCCTGCCCCCTCTTTCCTGGAGGTACAAAGTCCCCCCGTGTATGCATCATCGACCCACTCGTCCACAAGTAATGGAGACGTCGACATAAAGCGCCAGCAAGATGAACAACATGATGTCTTTCAGGAATGATGTTATGTTTCTTCTTCATGATCCTGCTTTCAGTGTTTCCATTTCTCTACTTTCGTTCATCCTAACTTCTCAATTAATATATTGCCTTCTCCAATCTTATGGTTATTCATATCCGAAAAGAAATCATTAGTTTGTTTAATTGTGGTCGGGCTGACAAAGTTGAGTAAAAGAATGGACTGGGTAACTGTCGCAGGTCTATATCATCACCTAGATACTTCACCACCAAATTGTACGCAGTAATCGTTCAATCACATATGAGCAACCTGCCAAATGTAAGAGTCAATTTGCGCACTATCAGATTCACGGTCTTCTCGACCTTTTTTATATTTGTATAAATTGGTGCTAACATCCAAAAAAGATAAACAACTGACAATTCGAAGGATGATAACTTTGTGTAGTTTACATGGAAGCACAGGGCATGTCGCCACCGGAGATAGGTTTCGTCTTTAACAGTTCCTTCCTCAGCTCCTTCTCGTATTGGTAATATGCCGGGGGTTTCCTATACTAAAAAGATTAGCTACATGATCGCTACCGAAATGATGAGTGTGCTGTTGGAATGAGTTTTCCGTAATGACGATGACTCTAGTTTGACACCAATTCGGTCAAGATCGGGAATACCAAAGCGTTTGAAATACCTAGGGAGTGTGAACATGACACAAAGAAGTACTTCTTATTTGTAGTCCGAAGTGTAATCGTTGAGTTATCGTCGTCAATGGAAAGTTGGTACGTCTCGATAGGGTACGGCAAATTGCGGATTCTCCACTGGAAATCCTGTTTGGTGTCGCAACGACAGAAAACAGGCTAGGAGCGGTATGTGTTAGTATTTTATGGACATACGTTAGCGTTGGATTCTTTAAATTCCTCAAGAACAGAAGAACATGTTTCCTGCTGTTGACCAATCTCGTAGACCCACGGGCCTTCACCACCCAACTGCGTGGGCGCCTTCCATTTTCGTTCTTGTTGATTAGAAGTCAAGTTGATGACTCACCTACAATTGTCTCAGAGAGATTGTCGTACTGCTCTACCATCTCTTTCCCGTCAGTAAAACTGTAATGGACTTTGGTGCGACCTCAAATAAAAACAGAGTCATACCATTTGTGCTATTTCCAAAAGTGCATTAAAGCAGAAAGTGGTCTCATTTGTGATCTCAAAAGTAACTACAAAGATACTTTTTCCTGGGCTCATTTTTAACCGACCTAAAGTAAATTGTGTTTAGGAAAAGTCAAGCGGTTATGTTAAAATAACGGTTAGCTTGAGAACTACGAGCACAAGACTACGTCCAACAGACATGGATAAACTTAACCCATGTGGAAAATTCTTCCGAGGATATTTAGGATGGCATTGGGATTACAGTAACGTCTAGGGAGAAGTAAGTGTGAAACAGGGAATTCGTTAGCGATGAAATGTATTTACAATTTTCAACTATAATATTTAGTCGAGAGTGACCCAATTTTTTGAAATAAACCATACGAGGAAACTAGATTAATAAGAATTATGATCGTACGGGTATTAATTCAGTTGTGTTTTGAATGCTAAATGTTTGTGCAGATTTAGGAACACATCAAGTAACATGAGTTGCAAGAAGAGAATCATAAGCGACTAAAAATATCAGTGCCAAAATTATATTTACCATCCTGTACAAGAGAAGTTTTCTTTGCTTCCCTTATAGCGTTAAGCCAAGTGGACGTTGCCATGATCAAATACCACTAGCAATGACCTTGAAATCAAAAGAGCGCGGCTGTTAACAAGACCGTTTATTTTGTAAGGCCTACGTTGATATGTCAAAGTTAAATGGCAATCTTAAAAGTATTTATATTTTTTGGCTTTCGAATAATCCTTCTATTGCAGGATATTGTACCTACTGATGCAATATAATATTGGCCAAATTGAGGTTGTTGCTTAGTGTTTTCAACGCGATTAAATTACCTATCGTCTTCTCATTTAGGTTGGCGATCAGGCGATTACAGAGATAGTACCCAAATATTTTCATACTTTTCATAGTAGCTGTCTTAGAGTTCTTTAATTTGGTCTCGGATTGACATCAGCTATTTCTATGTAACTTATTCATTTTTACTATCGATATACCTCCCAGTAATTTTATGAGAATCCTTGTTTTAATAACTTGCATTATGCCCACGAACTCTGTCAGATTTAAACAAGTTTCCTCTTTTCTCATAGTGTCATTCTTCATGTAACTATTTTAAATAGGATAGAACGGCAATGTTAATAAGAGGGTTGTCAGTAGTAGTAGTAGTAGTAATAATAATAATAATAATATTAGCGTAAATCATCGTAGTTTTAACATCAGTTTTTAACTTTGAAGTAGGTCTCTCCTAAGAGCTCTTATGCTAATTTTAGTGTCAGTATTATTATCATTACCATTTTTCAAAGTATATTTTAACAGAAACCACGATGTAAAATGTTAAATGACCGAATTTTTAATGGAAAAATAACCAAATAATTAAATACTTATATGATGTTGATTCATGACTTTTACTTGTGGGGAATTTGCGTACTCTTTAATCTAAATTGTTATTTAGGTAATTTAAAAAGTCAGAAGTCTCTTCACAAGGTATGCAATTTATTTCGAAACATCCGGGGTTTAATTTCCTCGTTACTTGGATCTGGTGATCACCTAAACACCGACCACTGCCCTGATTTTATCAGAATCTACTGAACTGGATCTGGACTGCTAGAATAAACGCACTGTCTGCTGGTTCCTTTTGACCTCAAGTGGATATCTGACCCCGGAAAACCTGTTTAAAAAGATACTTTACTGTAAAAAGCTTAAGGATATAACGAATGGAATTCAGTTCTGTGGTGGCACCTCTCAACAATTATGGTTATTGAGAACATCTGGGTGAAAAAAAAGTGTAAGAAAATGGAAGACTAGGGCTCACATGGGTCCTTGGCTTTACGAAAGCAAATCCCTTTGAAATGAAATTTTGGCTTTATGTAACAAACACAGCTACCCATTTATCGTCATGGCGCATCGTTTTCCTAAAATTCAAGTTTCTTGGCAAAATGCCGTGACTGACGGTATGCTGCAACTAAACAAAATTTTCTGAACTATTATGGATAGCTTCCAGCCCCATCTTTTCAGACTAAAGAGAAAGGATGCTGATTCGGGATAAATAATCCGAGGTCAATGTTGCTGTCTTAATCATTTTGATGTCAAATTCTCCTTTATCCTAGTGCTTAAACCATGCACCTTTATTCCTAAGAATCTTATTGAAAATGACTTGATTGAGCGCGAGATTAAGCCGCGCCCACAGCTATCCACGTTGCGGTTAATCTACGATACGCGAAACGAAAGTCAATTGCAAAATTTAGACGAATTTACAACATAATGCGAGTTAAGTTTTTTCAACTAATGGCTAACAGTGGAATAACTAGTTTATTTTTAAAGAGCTTATTTTGATATTTAACGAAAGAGCCAACGATTTATTTAAGTTGGGTTCGAGAAAGCTTTTACCTTTGACATCATTCTTTTAAATAATCGCTCCCAGTTATCTGTGCTAAAGTCATCAAATAATGACTTGATAACAAGACTTGAACCGGTTTATGACCACATGCCTACGGATTGTTTATTTTAGGACGTCATTTTTAGGCTAATGAGGGTAATATGACTTACGACAAAGAGGTATTTAAGGCAATTTGCATGGACCTTACAGGGGAGGGATTGTGCTTTATTTTCGTTCATTTCACCTGTTTCCAGTGCCAGGTCCAGTGGACGTGCACTCAGTGTAATGATAATTCGCTTGAATTTCAACTTCCTAGAGTCTGTTTGTAATTTGCCCTTACTTCACTCGGAAGTAGGATAGCTGACCCTGAATGAAAGCGAAAACACACAACTTGCTGGCCCATTAAGGAAGAAAAACTGGTTTTCCGCAAGTTGTGTCCCTTAATCCACTAGGCACCCGCTTATAATATTAAGAGAGTGGAGTATGGCATTTGCCGAAATCGTTACGGAATTTCACCAAGCATATTCGTAATTCAGCTGTTCCCACCAAAACCAATGTGGGCTACACTGGATATATTTAATGCCTCGTTTGGGGCGTTTACATTTTGAACGAGACGTTAGAAACTAGAGCTGAGATGCTGTTTTATTTTTCCCATATATATATAACTCATAAATGCTTAAATTAAGCCTCATTTTATGGTCAAAATGGTCAGTTGGTGGTATTGTCTCTCACAATGCCTATGCGACCCCAATTAGCACATTGGATTGTGTTAAGCTCAATTACATTTTGTCAGAAAATTTATACGATTGATAGCGAAATCTCCAATAGCACAGACACGTGGAATTTCAGATTCTGCCAATGTAGAAACAATCTTTTCGCTAAATTAATTACCCAAATAAAGTGACGGAGGGACAGTGATTCGTTTATTTTATGTATATCATTTCCTGTCGAAGTTCCTTTACTGCTGTTTTGTATTATTTTCAAAATAGCGTAGCCTTGCTCTGGTTTTAACAATCATATTGATGTAACATTCACAGCACTTTAGACCATCAAATCTTAAGAAATAAATTTTACTTTTTTTCCATGAGGCTATACGTAAAGGATCAATTCATGATCAGGTCATTTGATTGAAGGCTAATTTCAACTAAAAAGTAGATTTTTTCAACAAGAAAAGCAAACGTATTTATTAATGGTCTCTGGGAGTTCCTGGAGGTCATTTATAGAGTGCAAGAAACCTCTCCACCGTGTGCCTGTGAGCTGGCGCTCAGTGTATCCACGCGGGCAAAGGTTAACCGCGGTTTTACATCACTGGAAAGTGAGTGAAAATGCATGGAAATGTGGATTTGTCTGACAAAATGTTCCTAAAATACGCCGGTTATTGGATAGATTTTGACTTAGACTTAATGGGTTTTGGAAAAGAAGAACGCAAAATACCCTTCATGCCCTCTTACTCTCTAGCCTTGTATATTATCGAAGCAGCCACTCATAAGGCGAATGAGGTGTCACCATCGTATCTAGCATTAAGTAGCCACTCCTGAAAACGTTCCTTGTATAAGGAAAATTGTGATGCTATTGCAAAATTTTCTCAGCAATCCACAACTGCAATACAACAAACTGCTTGGTTAATTTTTTTAGAGTTTGTGCCTTTTAACGTGCACGACATTCTCTACGCGGACTGAAAAACGACCATCTGGAATCTAAACACAGTACGCTTGTTGGGGCCTTACTTAACGCTTGATTTGTGGCTCAAACTGAAGTGACTTTTTTAGAGAGCCAAAACTAGTTCATCGTGTCTGTTCTTAAGCACTCCATTTCTAAAGCCTTGTTTTACCTGTCTTGTTACGGTAAACCGTATTTTTATAGCCGGTGGTGAGAAAAATCTGCAGAATTCAACACTGGGAATGAGGCAGTAAGTGGACACGTGATAAAATATGGTGCAGTTCGCTTAATAAAATGTCCCGGAGGGTAGATAACAGTGAAAAATGTTTGAAAAGCAAAGCAAAAGACTTTAGGAAAAGCTAAGACTAAAAAATTATACCAGAAATTAATTAATTCAAAAAATGGAATATGTGCGTTCGAAAACTAAACGCTCCGGGTAGTTCAGATTATTTGCACAGTAATTGATTTCATAAATCACGATGGGGTAGCAGTATATATTCTGGAGACAAAATTCTCTAGTTGTTTGCTGATTCTCAATCTCCCAGTGAAGTCATTTAGCTGATGCACAATTTGAACCAATGAAATAAGGTAATTTGTAAAAGGTCAAATGACAACCGGTTTGAACATGTGGCGACCTTTTTTGCGTGCTTACTGGATCAATGATCAAAGAAGGATGGAGAAGCTAGGGGCATTTGGATAAAAGGGTAGAAGAGTTTACTAAACAAACGACTTCACAGATGTATGTATGATTAGATTTTTCACACCGGAGGACTAGGACGCATACGAGGATAAGGCCTGAATCAGCGCATAGTGACGGTGAATAATGTAGCGTTGGACAATGTTCTATATAGGATTGTCGGGTTAGATTGGTTACTTGGCTAACTGAAGAGAAATTTAACAAATGTCGATGTGCGTATAGCCAAATAGGATATCATGATTGAACAGCGATTTGTAGTCTAGTCGACGTACTTAATAATTTGTTCCGCGGGAAGTCTGAGTACATGCATGAGAATGTTAGACATGATTTAGGCCGGTTAGCAACTCAGTTTTGAGTTTCTTCTCTACATTTGAGCATTGGCATTTCAACGTGTTTAGCACTAACGTACAGATCCACGTGTGGAGGATGGCTTGTCGGGCCTCATGGACTCACCGTGCATTGTCCAAAGTGAATAACAATCGACAGGCTCATTAGCTTTGCTGAAATGTGTCGAATTTTTAAGCCCAATCATCGTAATTTAAGAATGTGATCTGACCAAGGTTCGAATTTTAAATGGGCGACTTCAAAGGATACATTGTCACTTGTTAAAAGCAGCGACAAGTCGGAAAACTGCATGTCTCAGTTCGCCAGCCACCCATATTTGTGGCGGCTTGAAGAGGCATCAGGAGGTCAACTTTTGCTGAGTCGACCCAGCACTAGGCTACTTCTGACAGCAGAGTCATGTGAGGCAGCCGTGTTCATGACCTGGTAGTGCTGTTTCCAGAATAGTGTGCAGGTAGTAGTATAACTCGAAAGGATCACCGACTGTTGAGACCAATTAAGTAAGACAAGCAGAAGATTCTCGAAGAGGACACCAGGCGTTGGATCGTGCCACCATCATGGCTAATAGCCTAGTTAAATGTATCCTAAGATGAGGGTAAATCACTAGGTGAAAAAATATTTCGTGCATCATACGATAGCATGGAATCGAAAGAATGAATCTCCATGATGTTGTCTACGCATTTCACAAATTCTTTCACTGAGACCTACTGATAAACTTGGAGTGAATTGTTCTAAAGGGCAGGGACGGCATTTTTTCCGGAAGATTTTGTCATTCAAGACAGCCAAATAATTTCTCCCTCTATGTTCAGGTGGCTTAGCGCTCAAGACAGCAACTTCAAACCACGACATGCACCGGCCAAAATTGGGGTGCGCAATCCCACTTGCCACAGCGACCCACCTTCAACTGCCAAACTATGCTTCGCATGACCTCACAACCACCGGACCCAGGTCACGACTAGCGTAAGCACGCGCCCCACCTACCAACCATCCAAGTCAACTGAGGTGACGCTAATGCCTAAACACAGCGAAGGCTTCCACCTCGAATGCATTTCAATGGATAAACAGGAAGCCGTTCGAATCCTGCTAGTTACAGCATTACGGTCGACGGGGCAAGTGTGAACTGTCACGAAATATTTCTGTCGATTCACTATTCTCGCTCCTCTTCAAATCGCCAAAACTGTGAGAAAGACTGCAATTTCAAAGTACGCACACCATGGAGATTAGCCCTAACAACACCACACCTAACACCACCTCCTTCGGCCACATACGCTTGTTTGCCGCCCACTCGCGTCGTGCTAGTCATGCCGAGTCATTGGCCTATAAACAAAGAGAGACATTTTATTGGTCAGTGAGTTTCCAATCGCTTCATCGGAGGAGCAGAATGCACGAATGGCATGCGGATAAGATGACGCGCGTCACATCGTGCTACGACGACTTGACAGCGCCATGCGTGTCGGCGGTGCTATGGCCGTGGTGGCGTGCATGTTGGCCTTGTTCTTGTGCTTTGTGCAATTCGCGTCGTCGTCGTCACCATCGTTGACGTTGTCGTCGTGGTTTCCGCAAAGTTCAACAGTACCGCTTGACTCAAGCCAGTATTTTCGGCTAGTTAGCTTTCCTAGCCTTCAGGAACGATTTCTTGCAGAATTTGTTGAGCGACTAGAATCGTCGTCGAGTAATGTTAGGAGTTTGGAAGCGTCACATTTCCAGTGGACAGGTGTTACGATGTTCCGTGAAGGTAGAACTGGAAAGTCGTGGTTGATTGTTGCGGGAGCGTCTCCGAAAAGAACTCGTAGTGGAAATGCCTTTAGGAATGACTTCAGTGCAGTATTAGGGTGTGAAGTGAGCGCAATGGAAGATGGGTCGGGTGGGTTTGATATTTCGGTGTGTGAACTCCTCGGCCTTGACACCGGTTCCCCTACCTTGAACCACACCGACGGTGGGCTTCTGGGCAAAGGTCTTCAGAGTCTGCAGTTGCCCACTGGAGGGGGTGTTGTCGTGATCTGCGATCCCCTCTGGCACAAAGACCAAGGTACCCTATCACCTGGCGGTAAATGCGACGTTCTTCACCGAAGAAATAACGTGTGGAGAGCTCCTGGTCCTATTGAATTTTGCACTTCTGCTGGGCATACGCAGCCCTGTGCTGGGGGATTTTCCATCGACCTTAGACTAACCGAGGACGGTTCGAATGCACAGCTTCTGGCCGGTCTCCCATTCGCCCAGCCGAATCGACGTGTTCGAACAGTTGACGACCTGCTAAGGCGTGGCCAGCAGCACATTCGCGATATTGAATCGGAGGAGGAGTGTTTCGGGGCCGCGGTCGCGTGGTCTCCTCATTTGCCGAGTCGGAGCAACGCACTGGCCATTGTTGGCTCACCATCGGAAAACGTCTACGGGTTTCCAGTGAATAGTTTAGTAGAGGATATTGACGCCGCGGTATTGAATTTACGAGGAGACACGTTTGGAGGGATGGGATTTGCTTTGGAGACGAGTCTTGTCAATGGAAGCTTGATCGTGTTTGCCGGGGCCCCTTATGAGGACGTTGAGAAGTATGGCGCGAACACAGGAAAAGTGTACGTGCAGTACCGCAGCATGGAGGGCACAAGAAACTATAGCCTAAGTGGCAATCGTCCCGGTGAAATGTTCGGCTATGCAATCGCCAGGATAGGCGACGTCGACGGTGATGCGGTAGCTGACTTGGCTATTTCGGCACCGTCGCTCGGTGATGAAAAAACAACGGGCCGCGTGTATATCTTCCGAGTTTCGCCAGATTTCCCATTTGAAAGTAGGCCTTTTCAGGTAGGCAAAGTAGTATCTCTATCAATCACTTTTCAAACATTCTTGTTCCTGAGTTCAGAGTAATTTTGGCGGCTTATTTTGGTACGCTAAGTGGTTCAGCTGGTAAGTGTTTAAATGAAAATATATAAAAGAAATATTTTAGTACAAAATAGGTTCTTTAAATACTTTGGATACTTGAAGGTTCAAAATTACGGATAGTTAACCACAGATTGTCAAGATCGCCGCTAGATTTTAGGTATGGCAGTTAATTCACGAGATTAGTGCCACTGAACACAGGATGTGATACAAAGCAGTGGTGCTTGTACCATTTCAGACATCGGGGTTATTTGTCCTTGGAAATCACAGATGAAAGGACTGGACTTTGTCAAATTATCGGGTGATCGGGGCATATACATCAGCTATTTTCGAATGGTAGGAACCTAATTTAACCATCTGCCATTTTTGAAGCAGAGGTTCTTTAAAATTGATTCAGTGCTCCACCCAAGGAGCCACCTTATCTGACATTGCGTGAATAGGCAAACCTCGTTTGCGGTCTTATGGACAAAATAAGATTATCGTGATATCAAAAATTTGGGCTTTTTTTCCAGTAATTAACGCGCTAATTGAATACCTCACTCGATGAGGAAAGGTACATATTAAGTAAATTGACGAGGTGTTTTGTGGAAACGCGAGGTACTTAATAGATTTTGAAATAGTTAGGATCATGCAGTGCCATTTATTCGTACTGGGATGGATGTTGTTTAAAAAAAGGAATTTGGAACTTCTTTCATCCAAATTCCTAACCCCCTTCCATGAGACAATCCCTTCCATTTCGTAATTCTGATTGACACATGTGTTCCGGCATTAAAATGTCTAAGACGGATGCTCCATCTACAAGTGAGAAGTTAGGTTAGATGCATCCTTCCTAATGCTGATGTAGTCTTGATCAACGGATTGAACAACTCCATGACAAAAAGATATATGCCGTTGTCTATAATATTACATAAGTCACAAATGCATTTATTTCGACGACGTTAATTTTACGTGGCACACCACTTCCTCTGGAGCGGTTTCTCACTTTTGAGTTTAGGAAAAATCACTCGTCCATTCATTTGTATATGGATTTCGTATTTATGGAAGGGCGTACGGTGAAAAACAAAAATAAATCTTGTTGTGAATCCATTTCTTCGCTGTAGATCTTGGAGGCACCCGAAAATGTTACAGGATTTGGCGTTTCGTTGAGTAGGGGTGTTGATCTAGACTCGGATGGTGGACCAGAACTGGCGGTGACTACTTTGGACCCAAAAACCCCTGTCCTTGTCTACTCCCCTCCACGGCGACTTCGAGCAAAGTGCACCATCAAAGCTAACCCAAAAGTGACGCCGACGTCTGTGAGGACTGGTGACGTGGTAACTCTCAAATTTACCATCAATCTTATTGACTCCATCTCCAACAAAAAATTTCCTGCCTCCCCCAACTTTCAGACACGCCATCACCAAGTTAATCCTGATGTTCTCTGGTTGGAACGATATAAGCACTTGATCAGTAACCAGAATCAAAGCGATTTTGACTTAATCCTGGCGGAGTTCTTTGGCGCGAAACAGTCCTCAAATTTGGTCCCAAGCAAGCCAAGAT